AAGTCAGAACCACATTGACTCTTGAAGAATCTACACTTCCTGCAGAATCAACTGATGGAACTACTCCGTCTGCAAGTTCTGAGACAGCCAAAACATTACCCTCAGACTCAACTCCTCGATTTACCACTGAAAATACGACTGTACCTTCTAGAGAAGTTCCAACTATCCGACCATTTGAGACATCTACTCCCAATCCAGTATCTTTGGCAACTACTGTTCCACCAATCACTCCGGAAACCACCAAAAATGTTCCAATTGGTACAACAGGTACAAGAGAACAGACTTCCACATCTCCATCCGAGTTCAGAACCACAATGGCCATTGAAGCATCTACACTTCCTGCTGGTTCAACGGAGAGGAGTACTCCATCCAAAAGCACTGAGACACCCACAACAACTTTAGCTTCAGACAAAACTCCTCGAATTAACACTGAAGAAACGACTGAAACTACTAGTGAAGTTCCAACCATAAGGCCATTTGAGGCATCTACTCCCAGTCCAGTATATTTTGAAACTACTGTTCCACCAATCACTCCAGAAACCACCACAAATGTTCCGATCGGTTCAACCCGCGGACAAGTGGCAGAACCGACTACCACATCTCCAATCGAGGTCAGAACCACAATGGCCATTGAAGCATCTACACTTCCTGCTGGGTCAACGGAGAGGACAACTCCATCCAAAAGTCCTGAGACACCCACAACATTACGATCATACTCAACTACTCGATCTGACACTGAAAATACGACTGCACCTCCTAGAGAAGTTCCAACTATCCGACCATTTGAAGCATCTACTCCCAGTCCAGTACATTTGGAAACTACAGTTCCATCAATCACTCCAGAAACCACCACAAATGTTCCGATTGGTACAACAGGTGGGCAAGTGACAGAACAGACTACCACATCTCGCAGCGAAGTCAGAACCACAATGTCTCTCGAAGTATCTACACTTCTTTCAGGGTCAACGGATAGGACTACTCCATCGGAAAGTTCTGAGACACCCACAACATTACGATCAGACTCAACCACTCGACCTTACGCAAAAGAAACGACTGAAACTACTAGAGAAGTTCCAACCATCATGCCATTTGAGGCATCTACTCCCAGTCCAGTATATTTTGAAACTACTGTTCCACCAATCACTCCAGAAACCACCAAAAATGTTCCAATTGGTACAACAGGTGGGCAAGTGGCAGAACGGACTACCACATCTCCCAGCGAAGTCAGAACCACAATGCCTCCGGAAGTATCTACACTTCCTGCTGGGGCAACGGAGAGGAGTACTCCATCCAAAAGTCCTGAGACACCCACAGCGTTACCTTCACACACAACTACTCGATTTTACACTGAACAAACGACTGAAACTGCTAGAGAAGTTCCAACTATCCGACCATTTGAAGCATCTACTCCCAGTCCAGTACATTTGGAAACTACAGTTCCATCAATCACTCCAGAAACCACCACAAATGTTCCGATTGGTACAACAGGTGGGCAAGTGGCAGAACGGACTACCACATCTCCCAGCGAAGTCAGAACCACAATGCCTCCGGAAGTATCTACACTTCCTGCTGGGGCAACGGAGAGGAGTACTCCATCCAAAAGTCCTGAGACACCCACAGCGTTACCTTCACACACAACTACTCGATTTTACACTGAACAAACGACTGAAACTACTAGAGAAGTTCCAACCACTCGGCCATTTGATTCATTTACTCCCACTGTAGTATCTGTGGAAACAACCGTTCCATCAATCACTTCAGACACCACCACAAATGTTCCGATCGGTTCAACCCGCGGACAAGTGGCAGAACAGACTACCACATCTCCAATGACCATTGAAGAATCTACACTTCATGCTGGGTCAACGAAAAAGAGTACTCCATCCAAAAGTCCTCAGACACCCACAACAACAGTACCTTCACACACACCTACGGGACTTTACACTGAACAAACGACTTCATCGGCTAAAGAAGTTCCAACCTTCCGGCCATTTGATTCATCTACTCCCACTGTAGTATTTTTGCAAACGACTGTTCCATCAATCACTTCAGACAACACCACAAATGTTTCGATTGGTTTAACCCGTGGAGAAGTGACAGAACAAACTACCACATCTCCAACCGAGTTAAGAACCACAATGGCCATTGAAGCCTCTACACTTTCTGCTGGGTCAACGGATAGGAGTACTCCATCCAAAACAACATTACCTACAGATACAACTTCTCTACCTGACACTGCATCTACTAAAGAAATTCCAACCACCCGACCATTTAAGGCATCTACTCCCAGTCCAGTATCTTTGGAAACTACTGTTCCATCAATCACTCCGGAAACCACCAAAAATGTTCCAATTGGTACAACAGGTACAAGAGAACAGACTTCCACATCTCCATCCGAGTTCAGAACCACAATGGCCATTGAAGCATCTACACTTCCTGCTGGTTCAACGGATAGGAGTACTCCATCCAAAAGTCCAGACGCAGCCACAACATTACCTTTAGACACAACTACTCGACTTTACACTGAACAAACGACTAAAGAAGTTCCAACCATTCGGCCATTTGATTCATCTACTCCCACTATAGTATCCTTAAAAACGACTGTTCCAGTAATCACTTTAGAAACCACCACTAATGTTCCGATTGGTACAACAGGTGGTCAAGTGACAGAACAAACTACCACATCTCGCAGCGAAGTCAGAAAGACACTGACTCCTGAAGGATCTACACTTCCTTCAGTGTCAACGGATAGAACTACTCTATCTGAAAGTTCTGAGATAACCACAACATTACCATCAGACTTAACCACTCGGGCTTACGCTCAACAAACGACTGAAACTACTAGTGTTCCAACCATCCGGCCATTTGAAGAATCTACTCTTAGTCCAGTATCTTTGCAAACGACTGTTCCATCAATTACTTCAGACACCACCACAAACGTTCCGATTGGTACAACAGCTGGGCAAGTAGCAGAGCAGACTACCACATCTCGGAGCGAAGTCAGAACCACTGAAACCATTGAAGAATCTACTCCTCCTGCTGGCTTAGCCGATGCAACTATTCCATTTGATAGTCCTGAGTCAGCCACGTCAGTACCTTCAGAGTCAATTACTCGACCATATACAGAACATACTATTCCTCCTGGAGTAACGGATAGAACTATATCATCCGAAATACCGGATGGAAGCACTGTACTTATTATTGAACAATCAACAGAAAGTACTAGGGAAGTACAAACACTCAGCCCAACAGAAAGATCTTCTGTCAGGCCGGCAACATTAGAACCGACTAATTCATCATTAACTCCAGAAATCACAAAATCTACTTCTGTTGGTACACCACGAGGACAAGTGACAGAACGGACTACCAAATCTGTCAGCGAAATAACGACTGGACGCTCAAGTGACGTAGTGACTGAACGTACTATGCCAAGGGAAACCTCTACGGTCAATCCCATTGATATAAGTTCAACTACTCTATCGGTTGATATATCAACAATCAAACAATATGACGTGCCGTCAATTACTACTGTTTTACCAGATTTCAACAAGTCGATTTCTTTACCGGAACCCGTTTCGGATAAATTGCCAACTGCAACAGACATTACTGTGACAGATAGCCCGACGACAGTACCTGTACAGACTTGTAAAACAGACTATAACTGCCTGGACGAACAGACCTGCATTGGGGGACAGTGCATATCGCCCTGTGAATACTTCACTAATCTGTGCACGGTGCAGAATCTGACCATTTGTCGTACATTAAACCACACCACAAAGTGCTTCTGTGATACCGCCGATGATGTAAATAGACCCGATTGCTCTATGAAAGCAGGTAACTAAAGTTGTGTATATAAGTTGTAAGTCTTGTTATCGAATCATAATGAATGAATTGCAAGGAACCACAGGGTTGCGGTTACTCCTGGCATCGTGGCATAGCCGACTACTTTCAACGCCAATCACATAGCTGGCCAATCGTAGTGACTACTTCAGTTTGATGTCATGTTATCTTTCTCTTCTCTTGGATTTCCAGCCATTATCCTTCTTGTGGCACATATATATGTATGACCAGCCATTCAAATAGTGCGGGCACCTTGCATGCAATCATTTGGATTATTTCCTGCAATTCCCGTGTGTTTTTCGTTCTCGAATTTCCAAGTGCATATGTCGGTTTCCCCTCTTCTTATTGCTTCTTCGGCTATTATTCGTCAAAGACCCGCACCTTCACCCATCGATCTCCCCACCACGTGCAGCACCAGAGATGTTTGAACTCCGTGTGTCCACCAAAGAAGCTTTTGATCGAATGCTTGTCCTTGGGAGTTCAACCTGTCTGCAGTCGTTTGCATGTCGATTTATGTTGCAATGTTGTTCGTTCATGTTAGTTGCCTGCTTTTTGTCTGCCTGATTGCCTGCTGCAAAAATCATCACCAAATCCTCAGTCATTTTCCACCCCACTTTGAATGTTTCTCGTTAAGTCTTCGAATGATCTCAACTCGCATGTTTTCTCCATATCTCAGCGCGACACCTTCAAAATGTGTTCAAATCTGTGTTGATTTTGTTGTATTTAGTGCATACTCGTTTTCGTTATTCATGCATCGTAAGTGTAATAGTTTTAAGTGTAATAAATTGCATGTGGTATATGGGTAACTAAGGATAAAAACCCTAGCACTAACTAACTTAACGCTTTTGCATGTGTATATGTTGTTTTATGCAACTGCTTAAAACTAAACCATATTTAACCGTAGCTAAAGCCTGCTAAATATTATTATATAGCATGACTCTGGAGTTGAAGAGTTAAAGTTTATATTCTATTTAAAAAAATGTACTAACTGCATTGAAAACTTAATGAAAAAGAAACTACCTACCGAACAGGATTCTTGACCTAAAGTGAATGACTTAAATTATAACGACTCTATATCCACGCACGATAGTGCTTAGATAAACAAATCTCTTTTACCTTATCTAATGCCTTAATGTCCTTTGCTTTGAACGCATGAACAGAGATCGGATGCGCATCGAGTGATGAGTGCCCGTCCCAGCAGGCGTGCATTAATGCTCTTTGTGTGGATCCTTGCACCTTTAACAATCCCTGCAGCCGCAATGAAGATTGCCGTGTTTTTAACCATCAGCCATTGTGCTCAGCCGGTGAGTATCAATCAAAATTAAATAACTGGTTCAATTTATTAATATTCTAATTGCGCAGAGCATGGTCGCACGCCTGGCTGCGAGCATTGTCCACCAGGCGCAAACTGCGATCCAACAACCGGTGCTTGTATAAAGGGTAAGTTTTACTGTCAGTCCTTCTTTAATCAACCTAAAACTTCTAGCCTTAAGTGTAAATACGATGTGTACATATTCTAATTTAAAATTAACCTCCCGTTACACCCGTGTAAATACATCTCTCTCCTTAGCTAATGTAACAATAACAACTATTACTACCAAGAACTCCACATCTACCAAGATACCAACGAAACCAAGAACAACAGCTAACCCAAACACAGGCGTCAAAACAACGCCGACAACCACAAGGGTCACCACAAGAAATACAACCACGACCACAACCACTACTACCACTTCCTCCACTAGCACTGAATCGAGCACAATCACAAGCGCTACTAACCAGACCAGTAAGAACCAAAAACCAGACACAGAAAGCACCACCTCCCACACTGATGCAACGAGGCGGTATCGTGATGGTGAGAACAATATCACTGATACTCCGACACCGAGGCCCCCGATCCCGACGACCACGCTGCGGGGAGAAGGTAACCTGAGTTACAATCTGAGTTGGTCCACCACGACGCCCAAAATGAAAACCACCCGACTGGATACTTCCAACGAAGTCTCAGATACCACTTCGCCGTGGCCGATAGAGCTGCCCACCACGGAGGGCACCACCACGGAAGTCTACAACACCATGATTGCCCCGGTGGTCAACACCACTGACACCTCATTAATTAACCCATGTACAGTAGATACTAATTGTGCCCCTAACGAGCACTGCAAGCTGGGCCATTGCCGTAAAAAAGGTATATTAAGTTTATATGTGACATGCACGCCACTTCGGGATCCCATTCTATTAATTGGCTAAATAACCAGTCATATTAATTGGAACAAATCCTTTATCCCAAAGTGGCACTAATACCATTTAATTGTACATAAATTCGTATGTGTGCCCTATACATTCTGGCATTACAAACTAATTTCGTTGTAAAAATTGTACATATTTAGGATAGCCCTTTTACATATTTGGGATAAATTGATTTACCAAAAAAAAAATCACCGTCATTTTATTAACAATTTAACTCACTTAATCCTTTCTAACAAGTAGAACCGCCGGGTTCACCAAAAACGCCCGAACCCTGTCAATCTAACAACGACTGCATTGAGAGCGAGGCCTGTTACATGGGACTGTGCCAGGATCCTTGCGAATTTGCCAAGATTTGTGCCGCGACTGCCAAGTGCACCGCCAAGAGTCATCGACCAGTGTGTACCTGTCCGCAGGGCCATGAGGGCAATCCGATGGTCAAATGTGTAACCACTCAAACCTCAAGTAAGGCACTAATCAATTAATCAACAACTTTCATTTAATGCATTGGGTACTACCAATAATTGACCATAGAGGCTCCACTTTTCCTATCTGAATAACATTATTTGACCAACTTGCAGTTGAATGCACCGACGATTCGGACTGCGGTGTCACGGAAGCGTGCATCAACCAGCTCTGCCAGCATCCTTGCGATGTTCACGATCCTTGTGCCACGAATGCTGTTTGCATCAACAGCAACCATGCAGCTGACTGCAGCTGTGCGGATGGCTTCCAAGGCAATGGATTTGTTGGCTGTCAGCCAGGTTAGTATACCCTTGATCAACACGATGACGCACCTCTGTTGTCCTCCAAGAAATCTCCTGCTAATGTGTCACCATGTCTCGTTTCTAAAAATCTTTCTCTTTCATACACTGTACAAATCCCCGTACACCACGACACATGTATAAAAATTGTACCGCCCCGACACCATTCAACTCTAAAAACCAACAAAAAAAATATAAATACACCCACCGATCCAACCGAATCGCACCGTTATCCTAACCAAAACCACAGCACGTTCCCATGTCTGTCAATACAACGAGGACTGTCCACCGACGAAGCTCTGCGATCGGTTGAACCGCCGCTGCATCAATCCCTGTCAAGAGGACTCTTGCGGCGAGAACGCCGAGTGCATACCTGTGAACCATGGTACTGACTGCCGCTGCCTGCCCGGATTCCTGGGCAATGCCTACGTGCAATGTCTTCCTAGTCAGGGATGCCGCTCCGATTCCGAATGTGATTCCAGTCAGGCGTGCATCAATGGAAAGTGTTCATCGCCCTGCCAATGTGGAGCTTATGCCCTCTGCGATGTGGTTAATCATCGAGGTGTGTGCAAGTGCCCTCCCGGCTACAACGGAAATCCACAGGTGGGCTGCAGTCCGCCTCAAGATCCATGCGACCCCAATCCATGTGGCTTAAATGCCTTGTGCGAACTGGACAATGGCAACCCCATCTGCTACTGCCCAAAGGGTCTTACCGGAAATCCGTTCAAAAATTGCAGTGAGTATTGTCTATATTTCTAGAGATGCTTAGGTAAAACTTGATTCAATCATAATTTAGTTCCTGAGGGAGATGAGTGCACACCGAATCCCTGCGGTCCCAACTCCGGATGTCGACGTGTAGGTGGAAACCCGGTTTGCTTCTGCCTGCCGGAATATGAGGGTCAGCCACCGTCGATTCCATGTGAGCTGCCTTCGAATCCTTGCGACCCATCGCCTTGCGGACCAAATACTCAATGCTCCGTACTCAGCAACGGTTTCTCCAAGTGCACCTGCCTGCCGAACTACGTGGAGAGTCCGAACACCATCCGTGGATGTGTTGAACCAATTAACCCGTGTGACCCGAATCCTTGTGGAACTGGAGCAATCTGCGATTCTTCGCGTCAGCCCGTGTGTTACTGTCCGGACGACAGGATTGGCAATCCTTTCAGACTGTGTGACTACCCTGCATTTACTCTTGAACTTTGCCAGCCAGGACCATGTGGCCGAAACGCCGAGTGCTATGTGGCTGGAAATCGAGAGGAGTGCTACTGCCGTTCGGGATATATGGGAGATGCTTACCAGGGATGCCGTGAACCGAGTCGCACTGTTTGCGACCCCAATCCTTGTGGACCTAATGCTAACTGCGTTGTAGCTGGCGACGGACAAACCGCATGCGTTTGTCCTGACGGTTTGTCAGGAGATCCCACGTCCCCCATTGGATGCCATGGGTATGAATGCCAGGTGGATGCCGATTGTCCAAACAGCAAGGCCTGCATGGGCTATCGCTGCTACGACCCCTGTCCCGGAGCCTGTGGCCAAGGGGCTCACTGCCAAGTGGATCAGCATCACCCAGTTTGCTCTTGTAACTCCGGTTTGACTGGCAACCCTGGAATTCGCTGCTATGCCTTGGACCATCCCAAAACGAACCCTTGCGTTCCAAGCCCTTGTGGCCGAAATAGCGAGTGCAAGTTGCTGAACAACCGTGCTGTCTGTTCGTGCATCCCAGGTTACCTGGGCGATCCTCAATCGGGTTGCCAGCCTGAGTGCGACATTAACTCGGATTGCGGTGATACCTTGTCGTGCATTAACCACAAGTGTGTGGATCCCTGTGCCGGAGCGATCTGTGGAATTAATGCCATATGTAATGTCCGCCAGCATACGCCAGTATGTCTTTGCCTGGATGGCTTCGTCGGCGACGCCTTTTTGCAATGCGTTCCTATTGGAATACTGAAGAATATTTCTCGGGATCCGTGTGCTCCGTCGCCCTGTGGACCTCACGACGTTTGTTCGGTATACGGCGATGGAGTGGCCCTTTGTGATCCCTGCTTTGGACCCAATGCCCAACAGAATCCCCGCTGCAGACCCGAGTGCGTGGGCAATTCGGATTGTCCGTTTGATCGCGCATGCTTGGGCCAGCGTTGTCTGGATCCCTGTCCTGGATCCTGTGGCCGGAATGCTATCTGTAATGTCTACGAGCATAACCCCGTATGCGCTTGTCCCACTGGACTATTTGGAAATCCCTATGAACAGTGCACGACTAAGTCAGTCGTAGAGCCGCCACCACAACCAAGCTGCGCTAAACTCCATTGCGGTGCCAATGCGGAGTGCAAGCGTCAGCACAGTGGTCTTGCCTGCGTCTGTCGTAAGGGTTACTTCGGAGACCCACATATTGGTTGTCGGCCAGAATGTGTTCTTAACAGTGACTGTCCCGCTGAAAAGGCTTGCTTGAACTCCAAGTGTGTAGAAGCGTGTACCGGAGTATGTGGCGTTAATGCCGTTTGCCGTGTGGTTAACCATGCGCCAGTTTGCATATGTGCTGAGGGATATAGCGGAGATGCCTCCATTGCCTGCAATCCATTCTACCTGCCACCTCCAGAGCGACCTCATCCGTGTGAGCCATCGCCGTGCGGACCAAACTCTCGATGCAAGGCCACGCCTGATGGCTATGCAGCCTGTTCCTGCCTGCCGAACTTCAAAGGAGCTCCACCAGTCTGTCAGCCAGAGTGTGTGGTTAGCTCCGAGTGTGCTCCCACCCAGGCTTGCCTGAATCAGAGGTGCGCAGATCCATGCCCAGGTATTTGCGGTGGTGGAGCGCGCTGCGAAGTGCTTAACCATAACCCCATCTGCTCTTGTGAGGCCAACTTCGAGGGTGATCCGTTTGTGGCGTGCTCACCCATTCAGGACCCAGGTCGCGATATCGCTTTGCCCAAGAACCCGTGCGTGCCATCTCCTTGCGGACCCAACTCCATTTGTCAGATTAAACAAAACCGACCAGTCTGCTCCTGTGTGGCCAACTATATAGGCAGCCCGCCGTATTGCCGACCAGAGTGCACGCTGAGCAGTGAATGCCCATCTGACAAGGCCTGCATCAACGAGAAGTGCCAGAATCCGTGTGCCAACGTTTGTGGACACAATGCCCGTTGTACGGTCATCGCCCACTCGGCCCACTGCAGTTGCGATGAGGACTACGAGGGAGATGCCTTCATTGGTTGCTCAAAGAAAATTACAGAAAGTAAGTAGTCCTGTTCCTACTAAAGTACATATTATTTATAAACTTATTTATTATACTCCCAATTAGGACCCGGCGATCACATCGATCCATGCTACCCCAACCCATGTGCCGAGAACGCTGTTTGCACGCCTTACAATAACGCCGCGCGCTGCACCTGCATTGAGCCCTACAATGGCGATCCTTACAGTACCGGATGTCGACCGGAATGTATCTACAGCTCGGAATGCCCCTCATCACTGGCCTGCATTAAGCAGCACTGTCGCGACCCTTGCACGGCTGCTTGTGGAGCGAATGCGGAGTGTACGGTGGTTAACCACTTGCCCTCTTGCAGTTGCACCAGAGGATTTGAGGGTAATCCGTTCGACGGATGCAAGCGGGTGGCTATTGTGCGACCCGAAAGCGTGTGTGAGCCCAATCCTTGTGGACCGAACAGTATTTGTCGCTCTGTAGAGGGACATCCTACGTGCAGTTGTCAGGTTGGTTACTTCGGAGCTCCGCCGCAGTGCAGACCCGAATGTGTGGTCAGCTCGGAGTGTGCGCAGCATTTGGCCTGCATAAACCAGAAGTGTATGGATCCATGTGTGGACACTTGTGGATTCAACGCCAAATGTCAAGTCAACAACCACAATCCCATCTGCTCGTGTCCAGCCAACTATGAGGGAAATCCATTTGAGCAATGTGTGCCCAAACGTAAGTAGCAAGATTAATTTAAGTTTAAATATTAAAATATTTATTTATTTATTTTTTTTTTTGAAACTTTTGCAGCTGCAGAACAACCTCTCAACGTGGATCCTTGCCTGCCCAGCCCATGCGGTTCCAATTCCATTTGCCGAAATGTGAACAATAGAGCGGAGTGCTCTTGTGCACCAGGAATGTTTGGAGCACCACCTAACTGTCGACCAGAATGTGTGATTAACCAGGATTGCCCATCAAATCGAGCTTGTATACGGCAGCGGTGCGAGGATCCTTGCATTGGCATTTGCGGCTTCAATGCCGTGTGCTCCACACAGAACCACCAGCCCAAGTGCAGTTGCATTGAAAGCTTTGAGGGTGATCCGTACACCGCCTGCAGAATGCGTGAGAGTGAGTACAAAACCCTCGACTATTTGCTATCCTTTCCAAGAGCGCCGATATGTGCTCCAGATCCGCCCTTAATGTTAAATGTTTCTTTCAGTGGTGCTCTAGAAGTATTGGTATTGTGGTGTACATTTGCATGTTCCTCGTATTGTGTATATATTATGGTCTTCATCTATGTATCTATCTATCTATTTTATTATTACTTTAATTATTATTACTTAGTCTTAAGCCTATTGTGTTTGTACATTCGTCTGTATGCATCCGCATTGCCTGCTTGCTATTTTCATGACCATGACAGTCGTGGTGCTAGATCCACCCACCGATCCATGCTACCCATCGCCATGTGGTGCGAATGCCATTTGCCGCGTGCGCAACGGAGCCGGCTCCTGCTCCTGTATCCAAAATTATTTTGGTGACCCCTATATCAACTGCCGCCCTGAGTGCGTCCAGAATAGCGATTGTCCCAGTAACCGTGCCTGTATAAACATGAAGTGCCGCGATCCTTGCGCCAATGCTTGTGGATTTAATGCCATTTGCCGGGTGGCTCATCATCAACCTGTCTGTAGTTGTGAACCTCACTTCACAGGCAATCCCCTGCGCGCATGCGTCGAGAGGCCCTCAAGTATGACTTTGTCCTGGGCTGGGTCGATTTGTTTGGAAAACGAATCGTTTTATCTTAAACTCGGATTACTCAGCTAATTTTGTCTAAATTATGACTTTGGTTCTTAGCTTTGGTTCTACTTCACCCAAAGAAATCGACCCAACTCGTTATACACCTTATCAGGAGTCTTGAACTTAATGTTACTTCCCCTTATAGACATGTACCTTCCCCTGCCCAAAGACCCTTGTAGACCGTCGCCTTGTGGCCTGTTCAGCACGTGCCATGTAGTTGGGGATCGCCCTGTGTGTGCCTGCTTGCCAGACTACATGGGTGCTCCGCCCAACTGCAAGCCCGAGTGTATGACCAGTGCCGAGTGTCCTTCGGATAGGGCCTGTATAAACCAGCGCTGCAAAGATCCTTGTCCCGGAACGTGTGGCTACAATGCCCGTTGTCGTTGCACCAATCATTCACCAATCTGCAGCTGCTACGATGGCTACACCGGGGATCCGTTCCATCAGTGCGTTCCTGAAAGAAGTAGGTTTCCTGTAGGAAGAATTAATCTAAGAGAGTGTCTAACTGAGGTTATCATAATTGTAGAACCACCACCAATAGCTGATCCCATTGTTCCGCCCAATCCTTGTGTGCCATCACCTTGTGGACCCAACTCTCAGTGTCAGGTTTCAAGCAGTGGAGCAGTGTGCTCCTGCGTAACGAATTACATAGGACGACCACCGGGTTGTCGCCCAGAGTGCAGCATCAATTCCGAGTGTCCGGCCAGAATGGCCTGCATAAATGCTCGTTGTGCCGATCCGTGCATAGGATCGTGCGGAAATAACGCACTCTGCCATGTCAGCCTGCATGCACCGGTGTGCATGTGTGAGCCCGGATTTTCCGGCGATCCGTTCTCCGGGTGCTACAAGATTATTGAGAGTAGGTTCTTCTGAGGGTTTTGTAATATGCCATATACTTATTCCCGTGCTTGCCCCGCCCATACAGCCCCCATTGAGGTGGTCCAACCGTGCCGCCCCAGCCCTTGCGGCTTAAATGCCCTTTGCGAGGAGCGGAATCAAGCCGCCGCCTGCAAGTGTCTTCCGGAATACTTTGGGGATCCCTATGTCGAGTGTCGTCCCGAGTGCGTCATTAACTCGGACTGTCCCAGGTCGCGAGCCTGTGTCAATCAAAAGTGCGTGGATCCTTGTCCGGGGATGTGCGGTCACAACGCACTTTGCGCCGTCTTCAACCACGCCCCCAACTGCGAATGCCTACCTGGTTACACTGGCAACCCCATCGTTGGTTGTCACATAGTCCCTGAGATTCCCCACTGTAAGATCGCAAGCAATGTCGTTTTAGTGGTTTTAGCAGTGATGGATGTACTTAGGTAGATAGAGTCAGTCTCAAACGATTACTTAAAATTTTGCTGCTGGGAATACTCCCTTTCATTACAATAGTTTTTGATATGGCCTTCCCGCAAAGTCTACTCTACCATGGTATTATTTCCATCACTGCAACTTAGGCCCATAGTTGGGCTCTCTAATAATTGCTGTAATTATCACGCCTGTAGATCCCGACCCTATAGTGCCTGAAAACCCTTGCCAACCCTCGCCCTGTGGCCTCTACAGCAACTGCCGTCCGGTTAATGGTCACGCAGTCTGCTCCTGTGTGCCCAGCTACATCGGCTCTCCTCCCAACTGCCGGCCCGAGTGCATGAGCAGCTCCGACTGCGCGCAGGACAAGTCGTGCCTTAACGAGCGCTGCAAGGATCCCTGCCCAGGCACCTGCGGCAACAACGCGCTCTGCCGCGTAGTCAACCACAACCCCATCTGCTCCTGTAGTCCCGGCTTCAGCGGTGATCCCTTCGTGCGCTGCTTCCCCCAAGAGAGTAAGCATCGGCAAGAAGTCAAAGAAAGCTTAGCTTCGGCCAGCCGGAGTTTTAAATTCCCCTGCAGAGTTATTTCTCTAAATTGATGCAAGCGTTTAGATTGTTCTTTTATCCGTATTTCCTCTGGGTTCAACTAGATACTCACTTACGATTGTACAACTCTACTGCAGGGGTTTTTAAGCCAACTATTCACCGAATCATTTCGTCATCAGAGAGTGCTTTGTTCACTCGATCCATTTCATCACTGCTTGACAACATTATTCACATTCTCTATATATATCTTTACCATTATGTTTATTTCTTTTATATGTACTCTATGTATGGCTTATTTTGGTGCATGACGATTATCGTACTTGGTGTAATGTTATGGTTATAAATGGTGAAAGTAGAGCGGCCGCCCATTACCCATGACCGCATCGATCCGTGCGTGCCCTCGCCATGTGGGCCCAACTCTGAATGCCGGGTGTCGGCCGCCAATGAGCATGCTGTCTGCTCATGCTTGCAGCATTACGTGGGTAGGGCGCCAAATTGCCGGCCGGAGTGTACGTCCGACTCCGAGTGCCCCGGCAATTTGGCCTGTATCAATCTGCGCTGCCGGGATCCGTGTGTCGGTACCTGCGGCATACAGACCACTTGCCTTGTAAATAATCATAGACCCATTTGCCGCTGCATTGACGGTTATGCAGGGGATCCATTCTCAGGGTGTAGTCCGAAGAGTAAGGGTTCCGAAAGCGTCGCTATCCAGGCACATATTAAACCGTTGACCTTTCCCCCATCCCTAGTTAATGTCCCGGTGGAAGTGGCACAGCCCTGCAACCCGAGTCCCTGCGGCGCCAATGCCGTGTGCAAGGAGCGCAATGGAGTGGGTTCCTGCTCTTGTTTACCGGAGTACAATGGAGACCCGTACACGGAGTGCCGCCCAGAGTGCGTTTTGAATAGTGACTGCTCGAAGAACCGTGCCTGCCTCAACAACAAGTGCCGCGATCCCTGTCCGGGAGTTTGTGGAGTCTCTGCCGAGTGTCACGTGATAAACCACGCACCCAGCTGCAGTTGTCCTTCGGGTTTCACTGGCAATCCCTCGCAATTTTGTCGGGAGATACCAAGATGTATGAACTACTTTCACTTTGGGTGGGTCGAGTTTTAAGGGATCTTTTAATTGTAGTTTCCAAAAACAGTATCTAAGATCATTTTGATCAGAACGCTTCCTACAAATAGCCTCCGGTTTTGTTGAGTTTCCTTAAAAATAGGCCCACTCTTAGTGCTCCCCATTGCCAAACAGGCTTATAACGATCACCCTGATTTTAGTGCCCGCTCCCGTTGAACCATGTCGTCCTTCGCCCTGCGGACCTTACAGCCAGTGCCGTGAGGTTAACGGACATGCGGTCTGCTCATGCGTTACCAATTTCATTGGCACACCGCCCGCTTGTCGTCCGGAGTGCTCGGCTAGCTCCGAATGCGCTCAGGACAGGGCATGTGTGAACCAGCGCTGTGCGGACCCGTGTCCTGGTACCTGTGGCAATGAGGCTATCTGCAAAGTGACCAACCACAACCCGATCTGCTCCTGCCCAGCCGGTTACAGCGGCGATCCTTTCGATCGCTGTGCGCCGTGGCAGGAGGAACCGGAGCATCCCAAGTCCAATGAAAATCCTTGTGTGCCCAGTCCATGTGGGCGCAATTCTCAGTGTCGTGTCGTGGGCGAGACGGGTGTGTGCTCCTGCCTGCCAAATTTCGTGGGCAGGGCGCCAAATTGCCGTCCAGAGTGCACTATCAACACCGAGTGTCCTGCAAACCTGGCCTGCATCAATGAGCGCTGCCAGGATCCCTGTCCGGGATCCTGTGGCTTTAATGCTTACTGCAGTGTGGTAAACCACTCGCCCATTTGCACCTGCGACACTGGGTACACAGGTGACCCCTTCGCCGGCTGTAACCCACAACGTAAGCTTTAGCTCAGTGCCTCTTGGAAGTAGTCCTAATCCGCTTTGTGGCCCCCAGCTCCAGCCATACCCGATGAACGTTTGACTCCCTGCCAACCATCGCCTTGTGGTCCCAATGCCGAGTGCCGTGAGCGCAACGGAGCCGGCTCCTGTACTTGTCTGCCGGAATATTTCGGCGATCCGTACAGTGGCTGCCGTCCAGAATGCGTGGTGAACAGTGATTGTTCGCGCGACAAGTCGTGTGTCAACCAGAAATGTGTGGACCCGTGTCCAGGTGTTTGTGGCTTGAACGCCCAGTGTCGTGTGTCCAATCATCTTCCCAGTTGCTCATGCCTGGCTGGATACACTGGAAATCCGTCGAGCGCGTGCCGAGAAATTCCTCAGTTGCCCCCACCACGTAGGTTGACGAGTACCTCTGTAAAGAAACACAGTCGAACTGATCCCACCTCCTACTTTCCCAGCCGAACGGGATGAGAACCCCTGTAGACCATCTCCGTGTGGTCCCTATAGTCAGTGCCGCGAGGTTGACGGCCATGCCGTGTGCTCCTGCCTTCAGGGCTTCATCGGATCGGCTCCCAACTGCCGACCCGAGTGCATCATTAGCTCGGATTGCGCCCAAAATCTTAACTGTCAGAATCAAAAGTGCGTGGACCCGTGCCCGGGCACATGTGGCATCGAGGCCCGCTGCCAGGTCATTAACCACTATCCCGCATGCTCCTGTGCCCCAGGTTTTACCGGAGATCCCTTCAACCGGTGCACCAAGATATTGTGTAAGCATGACTAGCTTGATGGATGAGGAATGCAAGCCAAATGGGGACGATCTTTATAAATTCTATATAAACCTCCTCGAATACACTATAGTTTATTCCACCTTGTGAGAATTGAAGCCCCCTTAAAATATTAAACCCCAAAAGCGCGATACTTAATCTACTCCCCCACTTGGCCTGCCGTCCCACCCAAGTTTTCTACCTCCTGCATGTATATACACTATTTAATGTTTGATTTTCCCTTTCTTATTATGTTTATTTTATGTACACTTTGTAAAACCACTATCCAACTCTACTATCCTATGAACCTATGTAAATGTTTGTTTGAATGTGCTATAAAACTACTTCAACTATCTGGCACGGCTATATGGCATGTAGTGGAGCCCCCACCCACCGATAAGTCTGGTAATCCCTGCATCCCATCACCATGCGGACCCAACTCGAAATGCCTCGATGTCCGTGGTTCGCCTGCATGCTCCTGTTTGCCCGACTACCTGGGACGTCCGCCAAACTGCCGGCCCGAGTGCCTTAGTAGTGCCGACTGTCCGGCTAATCTGGCCTGTGTAAACCAGCGCTGCTCGAACCCATGCATCGGCGCTTGCGGCCTGCACTCCGTGTGCACGGTCATTAAGCACCGACCAGCATGCGAGTGTGTGCCAGGTTACACCGGAGATCCCTTCTCAGGCTGTGCGGTCGTACAGCAAAGTAATATATTTCTGCCTGCTAACGAATCTACGATTCCCTACTAATTTACATAACCAATTCTCGAATTTTTTCTATAGTTGCCCCGTGGGACGAGACAAGAAATCCGTGCAATCCTAGCCCCTGCGGAGCAAATGCCATTTGCCGGGAGCGCAATGGAGCTGGCTCTTGCGCCTGCCTGCCCGAGTACTTTGGTGATCCGTACAGTGGATGCCGACCGGAATGTGTCCAGAACGACGACTGTGACCGCTCGCGTGCCTGTATCAACAACAAGTGTCAGGATCCATGTCCCGGAGCCTGCGGCATCAATGCTGAATGCAGGGTCCTTAATCACGGACCGAACTGCAACTGTTTCGATGGCTACACTGGAGATCCGCATCGCTCGTGCTCCTTGATCGAGGTGGTCACCATTCGACCGGAGCCATGCAAGCCGTCACCCTGCGGACCGTACAGCCAGTGCTTGGACACCAACAGTCATGCTGTGTGCAGCTGCTTAGAAGGCTACATTGGAGCACCGCCTAGCTGCAAACCGGAATGTGTGGTCAGTTCGGAGTGCCCACAAAACAGGGCTTGCATCAACCAAAAGTGCGAGGATCCTTGTCGAGGATCGTGCGGCAATAATGCAAAATGCCAAGTGGTAAACCACAACCCCATTTGTACCTGCCAGCCTGGCATGACAGGTGATCCGATATCGGGCTGTGAGCCCACGCCCGAAGTCAAGAACGTGGAGAATCCGTGTGTGCCGTCACCATGTGGACCCAACTCTGTTTGCCGACAGATTGGAAACCAGGCAGCTTGTTCCTGTAACGCGGGCTATATTGGACGCCCCCCCACTTGCCGACCGGAGTGTACAAACAATGACGAGTGCCAGAACCATCTTTCTTGTCAGCAGGAGCGCTGCGTGGATCCATGTCCTGGTTCGTGTGGTAGCAATGCCATCTGCCAGGTGGTGCAGCATAATGCTGTATGCTCCTGCGCCGATGGATACGAAGGAGAGCCTCTCTTTGGCTGTCAGCTGATTCCAGCTGTGACGCCCACCGAGTCCCCATCATCGCCCTGCGAACCATCTCCATGTGGTCCTCATGCCGAGTGTCGGGAGAGGAATGGTGCTGGAGCCTGCTACTGTCATGAGGGATTCGAGGGTAATCCCTACGATGCCCAACGAGGATGCCGACGAGAATGCGAGAATAACGATGATTGTACCGCTGTCCAAGCGTGCTCTCGATTCAAATGCGTCGATCCCTGCAACAATATTTGCGGAGACTATGCCATTTGCACAGTCGACAAACATGTGCCCACTTGTGACTGCCCGCCTGGATACACTGGAGATCCGTTCTTCAGCTGCAAACCCGTGCCGGTCACATCGCGTCCTCCGCTTAACCCATGCAATCCATCTCCGTGTGGACCCAACAGCAATTGTCGGGCCATGAACAACCAGGCAGTGTGTTCTTGCCAGGCAGGATTCATCAACCAGCCGCCCAACTGCAAACCGGAATGCGTGGTCAGCGCCGAATGCGCTCCGGAAAAAGCATGTGTCAACAAGAAGTGCGTTGATCCCTGTCAGCATACCTGCGGCATCCGAGCCATCTGCACCACCAAAAACCACAGCCCCATCTGCACGTGCCCTCGAACAATGACTGGAGATCCGTTTGTTGAGTGCACTAGAGTTGGTAAGTAATTAAATATATTTATATCCGTCACTCGTAGAGTAAAAGGCGTTCGACTATAGATCGACTGTAGCATTCTTTCTTGTTTTAAAATAGTGATACTACTTCACAAACCTGCACTTACAAAATCCCGATTAACTGTAATTTTGCTTACCGATAACGTCTATTATAATTTATTTAGCAATCACCAATGAAAATACGACACCGTCGCCGGCTCCCGCATCCTGTGTGCCTTCGCCTTGTGGACCCAATGCCAAGTGTCAGATCGTGGGCAATAGTCCGGCATGCTCCTGCCTGCCGAACTTCATCGGGGCTCCGCCTCGCTGTCGCCCGGAGTGTGTGTTGAACTCGGAATGCGGACCCACGGAGGCTTGCATTAACCAAAAGTGTGCCGATCCCTGCTCTGGATCCTGCGGATTTGAGGCCAAGTGCCATGTGCTCAACCACCTGCCCATCTGCAACTGCATTGAGGGCTACGAGGGAGATCCGTTTGTGCGTTGCACCAAGAAGGAAGAAGATAGATCTCCGCCACCCGAGAATGATCCTTGCAAGCCGAACCCGTGCGGACAAAATGCAGATTGCTTTGCAGGAGAGTGCCGCTGCCAAAATAATTACCAAGGCAATGCCTACGAAGGATGTCGTCCTGAGTGCACGCTCTCCGCGGACTGTCCTAGGGACAAGGCCTGTATGCGAAATCGCTGTGTGGATCCCTGTCCAGGAATCTGCGGTAACAATGCCGTGTGCGAGGTGATGAACCACATTCCGGTGTGCTCATGCGTCAAGGGCTACGAGGGTGACCCGTTCATGAACTGCCGTGTGAAACCCGTTGTGGAGGACCCTATTATTGAGGCCTGCTCTCCATCGCCATGCGGTTCCAACAGTCAGTGTCGAGACGTTAACGGACATGTGGTTTGCTCGTGCCTGGAAGGTTATATCGGAGCACCGCCCCAGTGCCGCCCAGAGTGTGTGGTGTCCAGCGAGTGCTCCGCCTTACAAGCTTGTGTCAACAAGAAGTGCGTAGATCCATGCGCCGCAGCTTGTGGTTTAGAGGCTCGCTGTGAGGTCATCAATCATAGTCCGATTTGTGGTTGCCCACCTGGCCGAACTGGAGATCCGTTCAAGCAATGCGTTGTCCTGCCACCGATTCCTGCGCCAGATGTAAAGACACCTCCTCAAGATCCTTGCGTGCCATCGCCTTGCGGACCCAACTCGATATGCAAGAATGATAGGAACGGTCCCGTCTGCCAATGCCAACCAGAGTTCTTTGGCTCGCCACCCAACTGTCGGCCAGAGTGCATCATCAATCCGGACTGTCAATCTACGCAGGCGTGTATCAACAACAAATGCAGCAATCCATGCCCAGAATCATGCGGAACCAATGCCGAGTGTCGTGTCATTGGACACGCTGTGTCCTGCTCTTGTCCAGCTGGATACGCCGGCAACGCCTTTGTTCAGTGTGTGCCACAGCAAGAGGAGCCACCGAAACCTTGCCAGCCATCGCCATGTGGTCCAAATGCCGAGTGCATTGAACGGAACGGAGCCGCTGCCTGCAAATGTATTGATGAATACCAGGGTAACCCGTACGAGGGTTGTCGTCCCGAATGCGTACTGAGCTCAGATTGTCCTACGGACAAGACATGCATCCGCAACAAGTGCCAGGATCCTTGCCCAGGAATTTGTGGATTGAACGCCCAGTGCTATGCTGTAAACCATGTGCCCAACTGTGTCTGCGACGATGGCTATACTGGAGATCCGTTCGCCAGTTGTCGTCGAGTGGAGGTCACAACACCGTCACCAGTTTCAGATCCTTGCATTCCATCTCCCTGCGGAGCGAACAGCAAATGTAGGGTCGCCAATGGCTTAGCCGTTTGCTCATGCTTGGATACATTTATTGGAGCCCCACCGAATTGCAAACCAGAGTGCACGGTTAACGCCGAATGTCCTTCGACCAAGGCGTGCCATAAGTTCCGTTGCGCTAATCCTTGCGCCAAGACGTGTGGCCTGAATGCCAAGTGTGAAGTGATTAACCATAATCCCATCTGTAGTTGTCCGTTGGACATGACGGGTGATCCGTTCGCACGATGCTACCCAGCTCCGCCACCGCCGCCCCCAGGACCCAGGGATGAGCCCGTTAGGAGACCATGTCAACCCTCGCCATGTGGATTGAACTCGGAATGCAGGGTGCGTGACGATCAGGCCTCGTGCTCTTGCCTGCCCAACTTTATAGGAGCACCACCCAACTGCCGACCCGAATGTGTTGTAAACACGGATTGTTCGCCGGATCGAGCTTGCATTGCCGAGAAGTGCCGTGATCCTTGCGATGGATCCTGCGGAGTCGACTCCGAATGTCGTGTTCAGAACCACTTGGCTATCTGCACTTGCCGTGGAGGATTTACCGGTGATCCGTTTGTTCGTTGCTTCGAGTTAATCGAAGAGATCACAAAGTCACCTCCACTCACGCAGGATCCTTGCGATCTGCAGCCATGCGGATCGAATGCGGAGTGCCGAAACGGTATATGTAGCTGCCTCTTGGACTACCAGGGAGATCCCTACACCGGCTGTCGTCCAGAGTGTACATTGAGTACTGACTGCGCACCTACCAAGGCTTGCTTAAACAAGAAATGTGTTGATCCTTGTCCAGGAGTATGTGGGCAGAACTCGCAGTGTGATGTTTCAAACCACATACCGATTTGCAGTTGCCTGCAGGGCTACACGGGCGATCCGTTTGTTCACTGCCGCCACGAGACGCCAGTCGCCAAGGATCCATGCCAACCAAACCCCTGCGGACCCAATAGCTTGTGCCACATATCCGGAAAAGGACCTGTATGCGCCTGTCAACCGGGAATGCTGGGTTCACCGCCCGCCTGCAAGCCGGAGTGCATTGTCAGCTCCGAGTGCTCGTTGCACACTGCCTGTGTGAACAGGAAGTGCGTCGATCCTTGCCCCGGAGCCTGTGGGCAATTTGCACGCTGCCAGGTTATCAACCACAACCCGTCGTGTTCGTGCAACACGGGCTACACTGGCGATCCGTTCACCCGATGCTACCAGGAGGAACGAAAACCACCTCCGACGCCAGATAATCCTTGCCAGCCATCTCCTTGCGGACCCAATTCCGAATGCAAGGTGCTGAATGGAAACGCGGCCTGCTCGTGTGCGGCCACCTTTATTGGTACGCCACCAAGCTGTCGACCCGAGTGCTCCATCAATCCGGAATGTCCACCAACCAAGGCCTGTATTCGCCAAAAGTGCTCGGATCCGTGTGTGAATGCCTGTGGATTTAATGCCCGCTGCAATGTGGCCAATCATCAACCCATCTGCACATGCGATGTGGGCTATACTGGAGATCCGTTTACTGGCTGTCAAAAGGAGCAAGGTAGGACCCCGTTTTCATTTGCTTAGTGGTCAGGTCAAGACGTAAACCAGCTTATAAAACCTAATTTGTGGTTTTGGTTTCTTACTGGACGCCCAGTAAAACACTTGCTATTATTAAAAATCAAACAAAAATGCCGCACAGCCAAAACATTTGTTTGCGTCTTGAAAGAATAAAAAGAATGTGAAACTATAGAATCCACCTCAGTATTCGCCAACCAACAAATATAAAGAAAACTCAGTGAAATTCCCCTGGTACCCTAGATCTAAAAACTTTTAAAGCAAAGTTTCACATTCGTTACAAGCGCATTAGAACAAAAGAACAATCATCACTAAAGAGCAATTGCAATCGTTGCAGTTGCTTTCTACTTATTTTGCACTATTTGTTTGCACTTGTGTTTCACTTCAGGCGCGTGACTTGTTCTAATGTGCTCTTAGGCAGCTTTTTTATACCACAATTTACGTCCATTAAAATCTATGATTATCGCACGCACAGGCACAATGCATTGCAAATTAATGAGTGTTCCAGTAATGTTTCTTTACACAAAATCACAGTGCACTCGAATTGCGAAATGCAAATTTCAATTTGTCACACACTCTGTACGAGTTGTCTGAGTGGATGTGCAATTGGAAGTGTCTGTATGCTGGGGAAGTCAAAGATTTTAATTAGGTTTAGTCAATTATTTATTTGCTTTTATTGCCCCTAATGCCTTAATTACAATATGCAAACTTGCCACGCCTTATTGCTTCCTTATATACAACCTTTAATGCCTTCACACCAAATCACCCGCCTTGATTTTTGCCTTTAACCCCTGATGAAATCGTTGCTGCCCTAAAATATATTACCCTAACCCTTGACGTTATCGTTGCTGCCACAAAAAGTATCTCCTCGCGTCCCTGCTGTATTCGATTTGGGGGATAATTCCCGTGAAATGCTTTTACCTAATTTGTTATTTGGCCCTGAAACCTGAAATGGCCCTGTCTCTCCAATCGCTTACTACCCAAAATTGAATCGAAATCCTAACCCAACTACCCGAAATTGAGTACTGCGTTGTTGTTGTTGACCCTGACCCACCCAAAATTCTGCCTTAGGAACGCCAAAGAAATTAACCAAATACTGGTCGTAGACCAAACAAAATAAAAACGCGTTAGTAATAAATTAGCAAATTAAATTGATTTAACAAAATTGTAGCGTATTGTTTAACAATGAGCAATAAATGAAATGATATAACCTCGCAAAAGAACACCTGTTTTACTTACGACACAAAAACATAACTCAATGCCAATTTACTTGGCACATTGCACTCACAAAACACTGCCAATGCACTAAGCACACCGAGTTTAACCAAACTAAATAATGCGGTTTACGAACCGCTGCACCTGAACCGCAATATCCTTCGATTGGAGCGATTAATGCCAACACCTAACTCGTACTTGTACTCTAATCCGCCACAATAATACCACAACTGCAATCGGATTAATCAGCTGACAAAAAACCAACGCCAGGTGTGTTGTATTCTACTAAACCCGTTTCACTCAAGAGCAATTAATGAAAATATCTGTCCACATTTCTATCCCTCTCTTTTTGGGTGAAATCCGTTTACCCCCCCTACAGAACGCATTGTCAATGAGCAGGTTACTCCCTGCGAGCCCAATCCCTGTGGCTCGAATGCTGTTTGCCGTGAAAGGAATGGCATCGGTTCCTGCCAGTGCCTGCCCGATCACTTTGGTGACCCGTATCAGTCGTGTCGTCCGGAGTGCGTACGCCACTCGGACTGCGCCTCCAATAAGGCGTGCCAGCAGCAGAAGTGTCGCGATCCCTGCCCAGGCACCTGCGGCAGCAATGCGGACTGCAGTGTTACGAACCACCTGCCCACCTGTACATGTCGCATTGGATACACCGGTGATCCGTACCGGTACTGCCACGTGGACCCACCCCAGCGTAAGATACCCCACTTAAACGCGTCTTGTTTTCCTCCCTGACCTTCGACCCTTTCTAGTCCCTGCCCGAGTGACCGAACCATCTCAACCTTGCCGCCCCTCACCTTGTGGTCCCAACTCCCAGTGCCGCGAACTCAACGGTCAGGCCGTGTGCTCCTGCCTGGAGCTCCACATCGGCCTGCCACCCAACTGCCGACCCGAGTGTGTATTGAGCACAGAATGTCCCACCGATAAAGCTTGCATCAGTCAACGTTGCCAGGATCCGTGTCCAGGCACTTGTGGCATCAATGCCGAGTGCCGGGTTCGTAATCATAGTCCTCTGTGTCAGTGTCGTCAAGGTTTCACCGGTGATTCCTTTACCCGTTGTTATCCCCTGCCACGTAAGAGATTGCCCCTTTTTCACACCGAACATCCTGTAAATCTTATATCCAACCTAGCCCCGCCTCCTGTAATCGAACGAGTTGAGCGTGATCCTTGCCTGCCATCGCCCTGCGGATTGAATAGCCAATGCCGCAATGTACAAGGTGTGCCGTCCTGTACCTGTCTGCCAGAGTTCTTGGGAGCACCACCCAACTGTAGGCCGGAGTGCACAATCAGTGCTGAGTGTCCCTCAAATCTCGCTTGCATACGGGAGAAGTGTATAGATCCCTGTCCCGGTTCATGTGGCTATGCTGCTGAGTGTAGTGTAGTAAACCACACGCCCATTTGCGTCTGTCCCGCTGGCTTTACCGGTGATCCGTTCTCCAGTTGTCGTCCGGCGCCACCGCCAGAGCCCGTACAAAGTAAGGAATTGGAAAAATTTGTAGGTTACATGTTCCAGCTAAATGAAACAACTCAATTAATAGGCGAATATGTGGATCCCTGCAACCCATCACCTTGTGGCTCGAATGCCCAATGCAACGCAGGAATCTGTACTTGTCTGGCCGAGTTCCATGGCGATCCCTACTCTGGTTGCCGTCCCGAGTGTGTTCTAAATTCCGATTGTCCCAGGGACAAGGCTTGCCATCGCAGCAAGTGCGTTAACCCTTGTCCAGGAACTTGTGGCGAGAATGCCATTTGCGATGTCATCAATCACATACCCATGTGCAGATGTCCCGAACGCACCGCTGGCAGCGCATTTATCCGCTGCTCTCCTGTGCAGAGTACGTCGAAATGGTTACCCTCCTCAAAAGCTCCTCTAACAATTGCCCCCATAGTTACAGTATCTAATCCCTGCCGACCCTCACCTTGTGGTCCAAACTCGCAGTGCCGAGAGGTTAATCAGCAAGCAGTGTGTTCGTGCCTGCCAAGCTTCATTGGAGCTCCGCCATCCTGCAGACCCGAGTGCACCTCGAATGCGGAGTGTGCACCCACTCAAGCTTGCCTGAACCAACGGTGTGGAGATCCCTGCCCCGGAACATGTGGAGTGGGTGCTAATTGCGCTGTTGTCAGCCATAGCCCCTTCTGCACATGTCCTGAGAGGTTTACGGGTAATCCCTTCATTCGTTGCCAGCCCCAGAGTAAGACCATTATGCCGGAAAAAGAGTCATCTTTACAAGAGTCACCTTTCCCAGTTGAACCTCCCGTTCGTGATGTTGTGCCCGTTGATCCCTGCCGCCCATCTCCCTGTGGACCTTATTCCCAGTGTCGACCTGTTGGCGAGGCCCCCGCCTGCTCCTGTCTGGAGACCTATATTGGACGTCCTCCAAACTGTCGACCAGAGTGTGTGACCAGCTCAGACTGCACCAGTCAAATGGCCTGTGTGAACCAGAAGTGTGTCGACCCTTGTCCAGGACGCTGTGGCCTTAATGCCGATTGCTATGTGGTTAGCCACGCCGTGCAATGTATTTGCCAGCAGGGCTTCAGCGGAGACCCGTTCGTGCAATGCAAACCGGAGATCGCATATGAAAATGAAATCCGTACTCCATGCAGTCCGAGTCCTTGTGGCCCGAATGCCGTATGCCGCGATCGCAACGGAGTAGGATCCTGCCAGTGCCTGCCGCAATACTTTGGAGATCCTTACGCAGGCTGTCGCCCAGAGTGCATGCTTGACTCGGACTGTCCGTCCAATCGGGCTTGCCAACAATTGAGATGCCAGGACCCCTGCCCAGGAACCTGTGGACTGAATGCCAACTGTCAAGTGGTGAACCATCTGCCAACCTGCACTTGCCTGACCGGATATGTGGGTGACCCATACCGGCAATGTAATCGACTGCCAGAACGTAAGCCGGAACCGACCACACATACTTTCCTCATACTCAAGCGCCCCATTTTAGCTCCCCAAAACGAGTATATAAACCCATGTCAGCCGACACCTTGTGGTCCCAACTCCCAGTGCCGCGTTTCGAATGAGCAGGCGGTTTGCTCTTGCCTGCCTCTGTTCGTCGGAACTCCACCCTCCTGCCGACCCGAGTGTACCATTTCCTCAGAGTGTTCCGCTGATAGGGCCTGTGTTAATCAGAAATGTGTGGATCCTTGCACAGCGGATACATGCGGAAATAATGCCATATGTAGGGTGCGCAACCACAGCCCTATTTGCAGTTGCATTAGCGGCTACACAGGCGACGCCTTCACTCGATGCTACCCTATTCCACGTAAGCCCAATGCCTTTTACCCAGGGGTTAAACATAGTAAACCCTTCCCTATCACAGCACCGATTATTGAGACCAAGGACGAACCTTTGAGGGATCCCTGTGTACCAACACCCTGTGGTCCTAACTCCGAGTGCCGTAATATCAATGGTGTGCCTGCCTGTTCCTGTCTGGCTAATTTCATTGGCCAGGCACCAAATTGTCGACCTGAGTGCACGATCAACTCCGAATGTCCCAGTCAGCTGGCGTGTATTAACCAAAAGTGTCGCGATCCCTGTCCAGGAGCCTGCGGTCAAAACGCCATTTGCAGTGTCATTAATCATACACCACTGTGCGCCTGCATCGATGGTTACATAGGAAATCCATTTACCAGCTGCAACCCCAAACCTCCAGAACGTAGGTGTCGCAAAAGATTTTACAAATCTGGTGATTGTTTACCCACTCCGATAATTTTTCCCTTTGTAGCCCCAGCACCACCAGTTGCCGACGACCCTTGCAATCCATCGCCTTGCGGAGCTAATGCTCAGTGCCAAAATGGCCAATGCTCTTGTATACCTGAGTACCAAGGGGATCCATACGTCTCCTGTCGTCCTGAGTGTGTGCTTAACACCGATTGCCCAAGGGATCGAGCCTGTGTGCGCAATAAATGCATCGATCCCTGTCCTGGAACTTGTGGGGTAAACGCCTTGTGCGAAGTTAACAACCATATCCCCATTTGCCGTTGTCCAGAGCAAATGTCTGGTAATGCCTTCTTCGAGTGTCGACCTGAGCCCCCTGCCAAGATTCAAAATCCCTGCCAGCCGTCGCCGTGTGGCCCGAACAGCCAGTGCCGCGTGGTGCAACAAACTGCGGTCTGCTCCTGCCTGGCCAACTACGTGGGCAGCCCGCCGCAATGTCGGCCGGAATGTGTAACCAACTCAGACTGCCCTGCCGATCAGGACTGCCAAAATATGAAGTGTCGCGACCCGTGTCCTGGCACTTGTGGCTTTAATGCTCTGTGCAACGTCGTCAACCACCGTCCCTTCTGCAGCTGCCCCAGTGGCATGTCCGGAAATCCTTTCGTGAGCTGTCAGCAGCAAAGTAAGACATCATAGTTTTTAACTCCGGCCTATGCTCAAGCATGAAGTTCTTCCAGTTGTACGCGATGAAAGACCTAAAAATCCCTGCCAGCCATCTCCTTGTGGTCCCAACTCCGAATGTCGTGTATCTGGAGACTCGCCATCTTGTTCATGTCTACCTGAATTTGTGGGAGCACCGCCTAACTGCCGCCCCGAGTGCATATCCAACTCTGAGTGCCCCTCAAACCAGGCTTGTATTAACCAGAAATGTGTGGATCCCTGCCCTGGGCTGTGTGGTCAGAATGCCGTTTGTCGGGTGTTTAGTCATAGTGCCATGTGCTTGTGTGACGGTGGCTTCACCGGAGATCCGTTTAGTCAGTGTAGTCCAATAAGAGACAGTCCTCCTGAAGTTCTGCAGCCCTGCAACCCAAGTCCTTGCGGCGTCAATGCCAAGTGTGAGGAACGTGGTGGGGCAGGATCCTGCCAGTGTCTGCCTGATTACTTTGGAAATCCCTATGATGGCTGTCGTCCCGAGTGCGTTCTGAACTCTGACTGCCCTTCAAATCAGGCATGTGTCAACCAGAAATGTCGTGACCCCTGTCCCGGCACCTGCGGCCAAAACGCCGAGTGCCAGGTGATCAATCACTTGGCCACCTGTAATTGTTTGGTTGGATACACCGGCGACCCGTACAGCATATGCCGCATCACAGTCAATGAGCCGCGTAAGATAGATTTTATTCCGCGTAAGAACACCATTACCATAGATGGTTTCCTTCCAGCCGAACGTGTCTATGTGAACCCGTGTCAGCCGTCTCCATGCGGTCCAAACTCTCAATGTCGTGAAGTAAACGAGCAAGGAGTTTGTTCCTGCTTGCCAGAGTTCATTGGCAGTCCGCCTGCCTGTCGTCCGGAATGCACCAGCAGCTCGGAGTGCGCCGCCGACAAGGCTTGTGTGAATCGCAAATGTGTGGATCCTTGTCCAAACGTTTGTGGTCAGCAGGCCGAGTGTCGCGTGCGTAACCACAATCCCATTTGTACTTGCCTCAGTGGATTCACTGGTGATCCATTCACCCGCTGCTACCGTCAGCCGCGTAAGAAAGCAGTCATGAATAAAGTGGTCCTTTCGATACCATAAATAAAATCCATTTCAGCTCCCCCTCCAGTCATCGAACGTGAACCCCTTGACCCTTGTGTTCCTTCACCCTGCGGTGCAAACTCTCAGTGTCGCGAAATTCACGGCACACCATCCTGCTCCTGTCTCCCGCAATATTTGGGCACCCCACCTAATTGCCGCCCGGAATGTTCCATCAATGCCGAATGTCCCAGTCATCAGGCCTGTATTAATCAAAAATGCAGGGACCCCTGCCCTGGCTCTTGTGGTCTTAACACTCAGTGCAATGTCATCAACCATACGCCTATCTGCAGTTGTCTCTCGGGTTATATAGGTGACCCATTCAGCGTTTGCAACCCACAGCCAATACCCGAGAAAAGTAAGATGCATTATCTACCAAAGCTGAGGTTCAAAAATCACAACTTACATTTTAATAAATCAGTCCGAGACCCATTGCCACCGGAGGACCCATGCAACCCATCACCATGTGGCTCTAACACACAATGTAACAACGGAGTTTGTTCTTGCCTGCCCGAATACCATGGTGACCCGTACAGCGGATGTCGGCCAGAGTGCGTTCTACACACGGATTGTGACCGTAGTCGAGCTTGTGTCCGTCACAAGTGTGTTGATCCCTGTCCCGGTATTTGTGGCACCAATGCGATATGCGAGGTTCTTAACCACATACCCAACTGCCGCTGCTTAGAAGGAATGCAAGGCAATGCCTTTATCCAGTGCAGCCCAGTTCCACGTAAGATGATTTTGCCCAAAGTTCTCCTCCCTAGTTACCATAAACTCGCCAACCTTACAGAGCTCGACGTCGTACAGAATCCGTGCCAACCCTCACCCTGTGGGCCAAACTCACAGTGTCGCGTTGTTAATCAGCAAGCAATCTGCTCTTGCATCACATCCTTCATTGGAAGTCCGCCATTCTGCCGACCTGAATGCACCACAAACTCGGAGTGTCCCTTGAACCTGGCGTGTCGCAACCAGAAGTGCAGTGACCCCTGTCCTGGCGTCTGTGGTCGCGGTGCTCAATGCCATGTGACTAACCACAGTCCATTCTGCCGCTGCCTAGAGCGCTACACGGGTAATCCGTTTGTGAGCTGCCAGCAGATCATCGAACCCCCGGTTCCACCGCCACGACAAACTTGCCTGCCATCTCCCTGCGGACCGTATTCCCAATGTCGTGAAGTTAACGAATCACCTTCTTGCACTTGCCTGCCAGAGTACATTGGAGCTCCACCTAACTGTCGGCCAGAGTGCGTGACCAGCTCAGAGTGTCCAACGAATCAGGCGTGTATTCAGCAGAAGTGTCGCGATCCTTGCGCTGGGCTATGTGGACAATCTGCGGAATGCCGTGTCCTTTCGCACACGCCAAGCTGCGTTTGTCCCGAAGGCATGGAAGGTGATCCGTTCACTTTATGTAGGGAAAAGAGGATTCAGGAACTAGACCAGCTAGACCCGTGCAGTCCCAGTCCTTGTGGAATCAATGCCCGATGTACTTCCCGCCAAGATGCCGGTTCATGTCAGTGCCTGCCAGAATACTTTGGAAATCCTTACGAGGGATGTCGCCCTGAGTGCGTCCTTAATTCGGACTGCCCATCGAACAAGGCTTGTCAACAGCAGAAGTGTCAGGATCCCTGTCCAGGAACATGCGGTCAGAATGCTCTCTGCAATGTCCTGAATCATGTACCCAGCTGTAGCTGTATATCAGGATATTCCGGTGATCCTTACCGCTCGTGTGTGCCAGAACGTAAGACTAATGGTCAGATTTCATTGAATTGTGTAATCTTCCACGGCATACCTACCCTTATAGCGATCAAGGAATACGTCAATCCCTGCCAGCCATCACCTTGTGGTCCGAATTCTCAGTGCCGTGAGGTGAATGAACAAGCCATATGCTCCTGTCTTCCGGAATATGTGGGAGCTCCGCCTGTGTGTCGCCCTGAGTGTACGATATCTTCAGAGTGCCCGACTGACAAGGCCTGTGTGAACCAGAAATGTGTTGACCCTTGCCCAAGCACTTGTGGTGATCAAGCGATCTGTCGAGTGGTAAACCACAGTCCGATTTGCTCATGTCGTGCCGGTTACACCGGTGACGCCTTCTTCCGCTGTTTCCCTAAGCCCCGTAAGTCTTCTTGTTCCCAAATGGAAGGTCCCACTCCTAACTGTTCTAATGTCTCAAAAGCGGTACCACCAACACCAGTACAAAAGACTCCAGTTGATCCCTGTGTGCCCTCTCCTTGTGGCCCCTACTCCCAGTGTCGATCCCAGGGAGATGCCCCCGCCTGTTCCTGTTTGGTCGGGTACATAGGAGCCCCTCCAAATTGCCGACCCGAATGTCGCATCAACGCGGAGTGTCCCAGCAGTCAAGCGTGTATTAATGAGAAATGCAGAGATCCTTGCCCAGGCTCTTGCGGCTATGGTGCCATTTGCAATGTGGTCAATCACACGCCTAGCTGCACCTGTCCAGCAGGCTACTCTGGTGATCCATTTAGTCAGTGTCAGCCCCTGCCACCTCCGCCTCCAACACGTAAGACACTCAGTATAAACAGAAAAGTTTATGATGGATTCAAACCATTCCTTCCTCAGCCGTTAAGCTTGAAGATCCATGCAACCCCTCACCCTGCGGTCCAAACGCTCAGTGCAATAATGGAGTGTGTACTTGCATTCCCGAATACCATGGCGATCCCTACAGTAGTTGCCGACCCGAGTGCATCACAAGCGCGGATTGCTCACGTGAACTTGCCTGTTCGAGGAACAAGTGCTTCGATCCATGCCCCGGTACCTGTGCCCCCAATGCCATTTGTACTGTCCTTAACCATGTGCCCATGTGCACTTGTCCGGAGGGATATAATGGCAATGCATTCGTTCAGTGTAAACCTACACCACGTAAATATTTTCCCCCAAGGCCGTGTTCAAAGCCCAACGATACCCAACTCAACGATTTCCTTGCAGCCCCCGTCCTTGTCCAGCCTTGCCAACCCTCTCCGTGTGGACCCAACTCCCAATGCCGCGAAGTCAACCAGCAAGCTGTTTGCTCATGTGTACCAGGATACATCGGAACCCCGCCACTCTGTCGACCGGAGTGTACGTCGAACTCGGAGTGTGTGTCCCACCTAGCGTGTGTTAACCAAAAGTGCACTGATCCCTGCCCGGGTTCATGTGGCCGTAATGCCCAGTGCAGTGTGGTTAACCACAATCCTTTCTGTACGTGCTTGCCAAGGTTCACTGGTAATCCTTTCGTGGGTTGTCAGCAGATTATCGAGCCACCACGTCAAGATATTGTGCCACAGGACCCGTGCCGACCTTCACCTTGTGGTCCGAACTCTGAATGTCGCGCCGTTGGTGAGACACCAACTTGTACATGCCTTGCTGATTTTGTAGGCTCACCGCCGTATTGCAAACCCGAATGCGTGGCCAATTCAGAGTGTCCCTCGAACCTGGCGTGTATCAATCAAAAGTGCCGCGATCCCTGTCCTGGATTGTGCGGTTCAAGTGCTACTTGCCGCGTCGTCTCACACACAGCAATGTGCATTTGTGATGCTGGTTTGACCGGAGATCCCTTCACACAATGCCAACCCGTCGTGCAGGATGTTGAGATCATAAATCCATGCCAACCATCGCCTTGCGGAGCCAATGCCGAGTGCATCCAACGGAATGGAGCCGGAGCCTGCCAGTGTCTCACAGACTATTTCGGAAATCCCTACGAAGGCTGTCGCCCGGAGTGTGTTCTGAACTCGGACTGCCCAGCAAACAGAGCTTGTCAGCAGCAGAAGTGCCGTGATCCTTGTCCCGGAAGCTGCGGACAGAACGCCGAATGCAATGTGGTGAACCACACACCGATGTGCAACTGCTTCGCTGGATTTATAGGCGATCCGTACCGCTATTGTAGCCAACCGCCAGAACGTAAGCGAGTTCCAATTATTCACGTAGTCGTACTAATGGCCGTAGTAGTGGAAGTAGTTACTAATTCCAAAAATTGTTTTGTATTGTATTCCTAACCATAACTAGCTATTGTCCATGAGTATGTGAACACCTGTCAACCGTCCCCTTGTGGCCCGAACTCAAATTGTCGCGAGGTTAATGAACAGGCAGTATGCTCCTGCCGTCCCGAATTTGAGGGAGCCCCACCCAATTGCCGGCCACAGTGCACCTCGAGCTCAGAGTGCGCCCCCAACAGGGCGTGCATCAATCAAAAATGCATTGATCCGTGTCCTGGTGTTTGTGGCCAGCAAGCCATCTGTGAGGTTCGCAACCACAGTCCAATTTGTAGGTGTCCCACCGCCCTGATCGGCGATCCCTTCGTGCGCTGTTTACCCCGACCAACAAGTAAGAAATTGGAAAAGTCTGGTGTGTATAAGATCAAGGCTAACTCTCTTTACCCGATGCCAGTTGCACCGCCACCCTTGAGGGATGTAGCTCCCTATCGCGATCCCTGCCTCCCCTCACCATGTGGCCTGTATGCGTCGTGCAGGAATCAACAGAACCAAGCGATTTGCTCTTGTTTGCCGAACTATTTCGGTACTCCGCCCCATTGTCGTCCCGAGTGCACCATCAATGCAGAGTGCCCAAGCCACTTGGCATGCATTGGCGAGCGATGCCGTGATCCCTGTCCAGGTGCTTGTGGTCAACAGACCGAGTGCCGTGTAATCAGTCACGTTCCCAGTTGCGTTTGCCTTCGCGGCTATGTGGGCGATGCATTCCTGGCCTGCCACCCGGCACCACGTAAGAGTTTTCAGTGTATAATTCCATTTCTCGGACTAAGACCAGGAACCTTTTGCAGCGCCACCATCTCGTGAAGAGCCCCGCGATCCATGCAACCCCAGTCCATGCGGCAGCAATGCCATCTGTTCTAATCAGGGCGAGTGTACATGTGTGGCTGACTATCAGGGAGACCCCTATGTGGCCTGCAGACCCGAGTGTGTTCTCAGTTCCGAGTGTCCCCGAAATCTGGCCTGTATACAACAGAAGTGTACCGATCCTTGTCCCGGAACCTGTGGCACCAATGCTATCTGCGATGTGGTCAACCACATTGCCATGTGCCACTGTCCCGATCGAATGACAGGAAATGCTTTTGTCCAATGTACTCCAGTTCAGCGTAGGTTAACCCAATGATTTTGAAGAAGAATATCGGTTAATTTCTTACCCGTTCTCTAGTTGATGTGTACCGTAACCCTTGCAATCCCTCGCCATGCGGCTCCTATGCTGAATGTCGAGAGCAGAACGGTCAAGCGGTGTGCAGTTGCCTCCCCAACTACTTTGGGGTGCCTCCCTCGTGTCGACCAGAGTGTAGCACCAACTACGATTGTTCCCCAAGCTTGGCGTGTCAGAATCAGCGCTGCGTCGATCCTTGTCCTGGAGCTTGTGGCGCTTTTGCCGAGTGCCGAACTGTCAATCACAGTCCTTTCTGTAGTTGCAGACCCGGCTATACGGGAAATCCCATTGTCCAATGTCATATGATTAGTAAGTTATAGTAACTATTTTAAGAGGACATCTCTTATATAATGCCCCACCTATAGTTGAGCCACAGCGGGATATTACGCCCAAAGATCCTTGCCAGCCCTCACCCTGTGGTCCAAACAGCGAATGTCGCCGCGCAGGAGAAACACCCTCCTGCTCTTGCCTGTCCAACTTCTTTGGCACCCCGCCCAACTGTCGACCTGAATGTGTCTCCAATTCCGAGTGCAGTCAGGTGAACGTTTGCACGAATAACCGCTGCAAGGACCCGTGCCCGGGTCTCTGCGGAACTGATGCCGTATGCCGCGTGATAAGCCACAGTGCTATGTGCTACTGTCAGCCGGGTTACAGCGGCGATCCGTTCGTTCGCTGTGCACCACACGTCCAAAGGGAATCGATTGAGATAGTGCAACCCTGCAACCCTAATCCTTGTGGCGCCTTTGCCGAGTGTCGTCAGCAGAATGGAGTCGGATCTTGTCAATGTCTACCGGAGTACTTCGGCAATCCTTATGAAGGATGTCGTCCGGAATGTACTCTTGACTCTGATTGCTCCGCTCAGCTGGCCTGTGTCAATCAGAAATGCCGTGATCCCTGTCCCGGAAGCTGCGGATCAAATGCCGAATGCTTTGTACGCAATCACCTGCCTACTTGCAACTGCCTCAGTGGCTATGTGGGTGACCCCTATCGGTATTGTAGCATTGAACCGAAACGTAAGCAGACCTTTCTATTGTTGACCCAACAATGCCTCTACACATCATATACTCTTTTACAGCCATTCGGGAATATGTTAACCCCTGTCAACCCTCTCCTTGTGGTCCTAACTCTCAGTGCCGCGAGCAGAATGGTGTGGCCACATGCTCTTGCTTGCCAGAATATGTGGGCACTCCGCCGGGTTGTCGGCCCGAGTGCACGGTATCTTCTGAGTGCAATCTTGACAAGGCCTGCATTCGTCACAAGTGCCTGGATCCTTGTCCTGGTGCCTGCGGCAGCTCTGCCAACTGCCAGGTGGTGAACCACGCTCCACTCTGCTCTTGTCAAGCGGGTTATACAGGAGACCCATTTACTCGATGCTACCCAATTCCCCGTAAGTTGCCAAAAGTGGAAAACCTCGTCTTCCTTTCTAATCATCTAACATATATGTCCAGCTCCACCTACGCATATTGTCCATGATTACACGCGCGATCCATGCCAACCATCTCCCTGCGGAGCTAATGCCCAATGTAGACAATCCCAAGGGCAAGCCATCTGCTCCTGCATACCCAACTACTTCGGTGTTCCACCCAATTGTCGACCCGAGTGCACTCAAAGCTCAGAGTGTCTGTCCAGTCTGGCCTGCATCAATCAACGATGCGCGGATCCCTGTCCTGGCTCCTGTGCCTACAACGCCATTTGCCATGTGCGTAATCACGTGCCCAGTTGTCAGTGCCCAGTGGGCTATGTAGGTGATCCGTTCTCCAACTGTCACCCTGAACCTCAGCCACCACGTAAGAATATAAAGTGTGCGTGTTATTGGTCAAAGTATAACCTTACCCCTAACTCTAGCCAAACCCGTTGCTCTCGATGATCCGTGCTATCCATCGCCCTGTGGCGCCAATACTGTGTGTCAAAATGGTCAATGTTCGTGTAAACCCGAGTACCAAGGAGATCCTTATACCGGCTGTAGGCCCGAATGTGTGTTAAATGCGGATTGTGCGCGAAATCGTGCTTGTGTTCGACATAAGTGTGTGGATCCCTGTCCGGGAACGTGTGCACCGAATGCCGTCTGCGATGTAATTAACCACATAGCCATGTGTCGTTGTCCGGAGCGTATGACAGGCAATGCTTTTATCCAATGTGAAACCCCGCCAGTGTCGCTGGCACCTCCAGATCCGTGTTACCCATCGCCGTGCGGGCCGAACAGTCGGTGCCGTGTGTTCAACAACAACGCTGTGTGTTCCTGTATAGAGGATTTCATTGGAACCCCACCAAATTGCCGACCGGAGTGCACGCATAACTCAGATTGCCTGCCTAGACTGGCGTGCCAGAGGCAGCATTGTATAGATCCGTGTCCAGGAACTTGTGGCTTTAATGCACTTTGCCACGTTGTGAACCATGCGCCCATATGCAGTTGTCCACCAAAGCACAATGGAAACCCCTTCTTGGGATGCTTCCCGGAACCCGTGCGACGCGACGAGTTGGTTCCAAAGAACCCGTGCCAGCCCTCGCCTTGTGGGCCATATGCTACATGCACTACCGTGGGCGACCAGGCGCAGTGCCGTTGCCTGCCGGAGTACATTGGAACTCCACCGAGCTGCCGCCCGGAGTGTATCACCAATTCGGAATGCTCCTTCGACAAGGCATGTTTAAACCAAAGATGTCGCGATCCCTGCTCGGGAACTTGTGGTTCCAACGCCAATTGCCACGTTATTAGCCATAGTGCCATGTGCTACTGTTTACCAGGATTTACTGGGGACCCGTTCACTTCCTGTGGCCAAGTACCAGTGATTCAGCAAATTGAGGTCGTTCAACCTTGCTCTCCCAATCCTTGCGGAGCCAATGCTGTATGTCGCCACGAGGGTCATGTTGGTTCTTGCCAATGCCTTCCCGAATACTACGGAAATCCTTACGAGATATGTCGGCCGGAATGTGTAACGAATAACGACTGTCCATCGAATAAGGCTTGTCAACAGCAGAAGTGTCGCGATCCTTGTCCAGGAGTCTGTGCTCTCAATGCCTTATGTCGCGTGATCGATCACTTACCAACTTGTCATTGTCAGAACGGCTTTGTTGGTGATCCATATCGCTATTGCCAAATTCCCGAAAAACGTGAGTTGTGTGTTTGGTTTGCTCTGCGTTCATATGGTAACCAATTCCTCTCCCATACCTTTAGCTGTCCTTAAAGAATATGTCAATCCCTGCCAGCCTTCCCCGTGTGGCCCCAACTCGAAGTGCCGTGAAAACAACGAGCAGGCCATCTGCTCATGTCTGCCCGAGTACGTCGGTGCTCCACCCAATTGTCGACCTGAGTGCGTGACCAGTTCAGAGTGTCCTCATGACAAGGCATGCATTAGGCAAAAGTGTAGTGATCCCTGCCCCGGTGTGTGTGGCTCAAATGCCGATTGCCGTGTTATCCAGCATGCTCCTATTTGTAGTTGTCGTGCAGGATTCACAGGCGATGCCTTCTCACGCTGCTTACCCCTGCCACGTAAGATATTGCCTCTAGAATGCGCGCAACCATTTAGTTTACCCGTCCTTCCCTTAAATTCCAGCCCCACGACCACCTCAGTTGGATGTATACCGCAATCCTTGTGTACCTTCGCCTTGTGGCCAGTATGCAGAGTGTCGGGATAACCAGGGAACTGCCACTTGCAGTTGTCAGCCCTCCTATTTTGGCACCCCGCCCAACTGTCGCCCCGAGTGTACGATAAATCCCGACTGCCCCTCTCATTTGTCCTGCCAACAACAGCGTTGTCGCGATCCCTGTCCCGGAGCCTGTGGATTCAATGCATTGTGCACAGTTATTAACCACAATCCCACGTGTCAGTGTGCTCCTGGATTTATTGGCAATGCCTTTACATCCTGCCATATACCACCTCCAATTGTTCGGGACCCCCCTCAAATTAGTGATCCATGCGCATTGATCTCTTGCGGCCCCAATGCTGTTTGCAATCAAGGGCAATGTACTTGTCTGCCGGAATTTGTGGGTAACCCATTAGTTGGATGTCGTCCGGAATGTGTGTTGAGTACAGAATGCGACTGGAACAAGGCGTGCGTGAGAAACAAGTGCATCGATCCATGTCCAGGAACTTGCGGATCCAATGCCATATGTGAGGTGCACAGACATGTTGCCATGTGTCATTGTCCACCTGGAATGACTGGAAATGCCTTCAGCCAATGCCGACAGTTGCCACCAGCTCCGGTACGCGATGTTATAGACCCTTGTCAGCCTTCGCCATGCGGACCAAATGCCCAGTGCCGCAATATCAACGGACAAGCAGTGTGCTCATGTCTTCGGGATTTCATCGGAGTTCCACCTTCATGTCGGCCAGAGTGCGTTAGTAATGCTGAGTGCCCACTTCATCTGGCTTGCCTTCAACGACATTGCCGAGATCCATGTCCCGGAGTCTGTGGCCTGAATGCCGAATGCCGGGTCATAAATCACAGCCCGAACTGCCATTGCATTGGCTCCTTTACGGGAAATCCGTTCGCGGCTTGTCACCGGCCACCACCGCCACCGATTAAGCATGAACCCATTGATCCTTGTCAACCATCACCGTGTGGAGCTAATGCGGAATGCCGTGTTCAGGGAAGCAGTGCTCAATGCAATTGTCTAAGTGGTTTCATTGGAACACCACCCAACTGCCGACCCGAGTGCGTGTCCAACTCAGATTGTCCCACGAATCTGGCTTGCCTTAATCAGAAGTGCCGAGATCCATGTCCAGGTGTCTGTGGCTCCAATGCTGAATGCTATGTGATTAACCATACACCCATGTGCACATGCCTTGCCGGACAAACCGGCAATCCTTTTGTAGGCTGTCAAGTGATGCGAGATGTTCCCGAGCCACAAACTCCCTGTGTGCCCAGTCCATGCGGAGCCAATGCACTTTGTTCTGAAAGAAACGGAGCCGGAGCCTGTCAATGCCTTCCGGAATTCTATGGCAATCCCTATGAAGGCTGCCGACCGGAGTGCGTTCTCAATTCGGACTGTCCCAGCCACTTGGCGTGTCTTAACCAACACTGCCGCGATCCCTGTCCCGGAACATGTGGTATCAACGCCGAATGTCAAGTGCGCGAGCACTTGCCCCAATGCAACTGCCATGTTGGATATCAGGGAAACCCCTACGTTTACTGTAGTGTCCTGCGTGAACGTAAGCAGCCCATGGAAAGGAAAATTATTGCATCCGATACTTATTCTGCATTTACCCCGACAGCACTGCCTGAACCAGTTTCCTCCCGCCCTTGTCAGCCGTCACCTTGTGGTCCGAACTCTCAGTGTCGGGAGTCAAACAACCAGGCAATTTGCAAGTGCCTGCCCGACTTTATTGGATCCCCACCTGCATGTAGACCCGAGTGCACCATCTCCAGTGAATGTGATTTGACCCTTGCTTGTGTTCAACAACACTGTGTCGATCCCTGTCCCGGTGTCTGCGGCAATAGTGCCCAGTGTCGGGTCATAAATCACAGTCCCCACTGCAGTTGCTTGCCTGGTTTCACGGGTGATGCCATTAGTGGTTGCCAACGGATTCGTAAGACTCAACTTTTAATAAATTCCTTCGATAGTTTTCTTAACCGCAAACTCTCTGCAGCACCCGCCATTAGTTACGATCCCCCCAAAGAGACCCACCGCGATCCCTGTGTTCCCTCTCCCTGCGGAGCCTTTGGTCAGTGCCGAGCTCAAGGCAACCAGGCTGTATGCTCATGCCTTCCTGGCTACTACGGAGCACCACCAAATTGTAGACCGGAATGTGAAATTAACCCGGACTGCCCGTCCCATTTGGCATGTATCAGTGAAAAATGTCGCGATCCATGTCCCGGTTCTTGTGGCCTGCAGGCCCAATGCAGCGTCATAAACCACACACCCATCTGTAGTTGTCCATCAGGCTATCAGGGCAACCCCTTCATCAGCTGTCAACGAATCCCTCCACCGCCGACTCCACCCCTTCGCGATGCCTGCAATCCCTCACCTTGTGGCTCCAATGCAATCTGCAGCCCCGGAGGCCAGTGTTCATGTCTGCCCGACTTTGATGGCAACCCCTACGTGGGCTGCCGACCTGAGTGCGTCCTCAATACGGACTGCGCAAGAGACAAAGCCTGCCAGCGCAGCAAGTGCACAGATCCTTGTCCAGGAGCTTGTGGTATTGGAGCAGTTTGCGAGGTGCGCAATCACATTCCCACGTGTAATTGCCCACCCGGAACGACGGGCAATGCTTTCGTTCAGTGCACCCTTGTGCAATGTAGGTTCCAAACTAAGAATCTACCAACTATAGAGCCTCTATTTAACAATTCCCTGTTTTATTTAGCTTCACCCGTGGTGCCCTTAAACCCTTGCCAACCATCACCGTGCGGAAACAATGCCCAATGCCGAGAGGTTAATGATCAGGCCGTTTGCTCTTGTCTACCCGGTTTCTTTGGTGTTCCACCAAAGTGTCGACCCGAGTGTACCATTAACTCAGACTGTGCCCCACATTTGGCCTGCTTGAACCAACAGTGTAGAGATCCTTGTCCTGGAGCTTGCGGCCAGTTCGCTCAATGCCAGGTCATCCGGCATGTTCCGCACTGTAGTTGTCCTTCAGGCTACTCAGGCAACGCTTTCTTCCTGTGTCATCGCATACCACCACCACCACCAGTCCAACGAGAACCGCTCAATCCCTGCTATCCATCGCCATGCGGACCCAATGCCGAATGCACAAATCAGAATGAACAGGCCATTTGCAAGTGCCTAAAGGACTACATAGGAACACCACCCAACTGTCGACCAGAGTGCATAACGTCATCAGAGTGTCCGCTTCAGCTGGCTTGTATTGGTCAGAAATGCAAGGATCCTTGTTCAGGGCTCTGCGGAAACGCTGCCACCTGTCAAGTTGTCAGCCACGTGCCTTCGTGTATTTGCGTTGCAGACTATATTGGAGATCCCTACACTGGATGCTATGCCCGGCCGCCCATTCAGCGAGAGCAAATCAATCCATGCTACCAGAACCCGTGCGGAAGCAATGCGATCTGCAGAGAGCGTGGAGAAGTCGCTTCGTGTCAGTGTCTACCGGAATATTACGGAAACCCGTATGAAGGATGTCGACCCGAATGTGTGCTTAATTCGGACTGCTCTAGCCACTTGGCTTGCCTCAATCAACACTGTCGAGATCCCTGTCCGGGAAGTTGCGCGCCCAATGCCCAATGTCAAGTAGTCAATCACGTGCCCAGCTGTAGTTGTTATCCTGGATATAGTGGCGATCCGTATCGCCATTGCCATGTGGTCCAGGCAGAACGTAAGCAGTCTTTACCCAGTCCGTCGTTTAACCCATGCACTAACTCACCAATCTACCAATATGCCCAATCTGCACTCTTATGTCCCTATTTAGCCTTTGAAGTTGTGCACTCTAATCCCTGCCAACCCTCGCCGTGTGGTCCCAACTCACAGTGCACCGAGTCTCAGGGCCAAGCGGTGTGTCGCTGTCTGCCCGATTACTATGGTTCCCCACCTGCTTGTCGACCCGAGTGCACCACTAATCCCGAATGTCCCAATGATAAAGCCTGCGTGGCTAGAAGATGCACCGATCCTTGCGCGGGTGCTTGTGGTCAGAACGCTATTTGTCGAGCGCATCAGCACAGAGCTTATTGCTCGTGTCATCCTGGCTATACAGGTGATGCCTTCATGCGCTGCCAGTTCTTGCCTCCGCCCCAACCGATTAGGGATTCGCCAGTAATCTATAGAGACCCCTGTGTGCCGTCGCCCTGTGGACAGTTTGCACAGTGTCGCGTTGAGTACGAACAAGCGGTATGCTCTTGTCTTACCTCCTACTACGGTACTCCGCCATACTGTCGACCCGAGTGCACACAGAATTCAGATTGTCCCAGCCATAGGTCCTGTGTCAATCAAAGGTGCGTGGATCCGTGCCCCGGGGCATGTGGTCTACACGCGCGATGCGATGTGCTCAATCACGTGCCTAGCTGTTCATGTCCCAAAGGTTATGTGGGAGATCCCTTCTACCGCTGTTACCCTGCTCCCGCGCCTCCTCCAACACCTGTTACCGTCGTGGCCAATGATCCTTGTCAGCCATCGCCCTGCGGTCCCAATGCCCAGTGTTCGAACGGTGTCTGCAATTGTCTGCCCCTGTACCAGGGTGATCCCTATGTGGGCTGTCGCCCGGAGTGCGTGTTAAGTACAGAGTGTCCGTGGGACAAAGCCTGCATCCGCAATCGTTGCTTGGACCCGTGTCCCGGAACGTGCGGATCAGGAGCCACATGCCAGGTACATAATCATGTGGCCATGTGCCAGTGTCCGGCTGGCTATCAGGGCAATCCATTTGTACTGTGCCAGCAAACACCTCTTCAAGCACCCGCAAAACTCCATCCCTGCCAGCCTTCACCTTGTGGACACCATGGAGAGTGTCGTGAAGTTGGTTCGCAAGCCATTTGCACTTGCCTTCCCGGTTATTATGGCAGCCCACCGGCTTGTCGACCCGAATGTGTCAGCGATCCGGAGTGTCCACCCAGTTTGGCCTGTGTAAATCAAAAATGCCGCGATCCCTGTCCTGGTACCTGTGGTCGCTTAGCCCAATGTCATGTAATTAATCACAGTCCACAGTGTGTTTGCCCTGCTGGATACACTGGAAGTCCTTACTCCGAGTGCCACCTGATTAGGACAGATTACTCACCAGTTCAGCGTCAACCCATTGATCCCTGCTCGCCATCTCCCTGTGGGCCTCATGCTCAATGCAGCAATGAGGGAGGCAATGCAGTTTGTCGATGCCTGGCGGAATACCTGGGAGTACCACCGTACTGTCGACCCGAATGCATCGCCAACAGCGAGTGTCCCAGTGACAGGGCATGTATTAACCGGAAGTGCCAGGATCCATGTCCCGGCCTGTGCGGGTACAATGCCATTTGTCGAACTTACAATCACCAGCCCAACTGTGTTTGTGCTCCTGGTTTGGTGGGTAATCCCTTCAACTCCTGCCTGCCCCCCACGCGTCCTGATATTCCAACAACACCTCCCACAACTGCCATACAAGTGCTTCAGTATGAGGAACCATTCATCAATGGATGTGAACCAAATCCCTGTGGGGCAAACGCGCAATGCAATCAGCGAAGGGGAGTAGTCTCTTGCGTCTGTCTGCCAGACTATTTTGGCAACCCTTACGAAGCCTGCCGACCCGAGTGTATTCTGAACTCCGATTGTGGCTCGAGTAGAGCATGTGTACAACAAAAATGTCGCGATCCATGTCCCGGAACTTGTGGCCTGAATGCCGAGTGTCATGTCCTGGATCATCTGCCACAGTGCAGATGTTTCAGTGGGTACACTGGAAATCCTTTGGCGTACTGCTCACCAGTGCCAATAGTCCAAGAGTGTAAGCATAAATGCATTGATAAACCCGCCACCAATATAGATAATCCAAATCATATGTCAACCCTTTTAGCTCCTTTGACCCCCTGTGATCCCTCACCTTGTGGACCCAATGCCCAGTGTCAACCGTCGCTCAATGAAGCCGTGTGCTCCTGTTTACCCGAATTCTACGGAACCCCACCCAATTGTCGACCCGAGTGTACTCTAAACTCTGAGTGTGCTTATGATAAGGCTTGCGTACATCACAAGTGTGTTGATCCCTGTCCTGGAATTTGCGGTGTTAATGCCGAATGTCGCGTGCACTATCACAGTCCCATATGTTATTGCATTTCATCGCATACGGGTGATCCATTCACACGATGCTACGAAACCCCAAAACGTAAGAATATAAATACAAGTTCTTATGGAGTTCAAAAATCGGTTAACAAAAATTTCAATATTACACTTTCAACAGCCTTGCGACCCCAAATATACGACACGCCTTCTCCTCCATATCCGGTCGCTATACCCGATCTGGTTTATGTACAAGAACAACAACCGGGAATAGTAAATATTCCCTCTGTCCCTCAACCGATATATCCTACGCCCCAATCACCACAATACAATGCAAACTATCCATCCCCGCAACCGGCGCATCCCCAAAAACCGGGAGTTGTAAATATTCCACAGCCACAGCCAGTTTACCCAACACCTCAACCACCTGTTTACGATGTCAACTACCCAACAACGCCAGTGCCACAACAACCCGGGGTTGTGAACATTCCTTCGGCACCTCGACCAGTGCCCCCGACATCTCAGAGACCTGTGTTTATTACGTCGCCAGGAAACCCAGCGCCCACACCGCTACCTGGAGTTATTAACATTCCGTCAGTGTCACAACCTGGATATCCAACGCCACAAAGCCCTGTTTATGATACAAACTATCCTACTGCTCAAAGTCCTATTCCCCAACATCCTGGCGTAGTTAACATTCCATCGGTGCCAACTCCAACATACCCTGCTCCAAATCCACCGGTGAACTATCCAACGCCACCATCATCTCATATACCAGTCCAACCGGGAGTTATCAATATACCGTCTGCGCCGCATCCAACAGCACCACCACAACATCCTACCGTTTTTATTCCGTCCCCTGAGAGCCCGTCACCAGCTCCAAAGCCTGGTGTAATTAATATTCCGTCCGAAGCGCAACCAGAACACCCAACACCAGAGGTTCCTGTTTATGACGTGAATTATTCAACAACACCGTCTCCTATTCCTCAAAAGCCTGGAGTAATAAATATTCCTTCAGCACCGCAACCAGTGCATCCTGCACCCAATCCACCAATCCACGATTTTAATTATCCCACTACGCCAGCAGTTCCTCACCAGCCAGGTGTTCTGAATATACCATCATACCCAAGGCCAGAGGCACCAACACCTCAGCCCCCTATATACATACCATCCCAGGAGCAACCGAAACCAACACCCGGACCGGCAGTTATAAATGTACCTTCAGCACCACAACCTGTGTATCCTACACCACAGGCCCCTGTTTACGACGTTAACTATCCAACATCTCCATCTGCAATACCACACAAACCTGGAGTAGTTAACATTCCATCGGTGCCACTCCCAACGCCTCCAATTACGCAACGTCCCGTGTTTGTACCATCACCTGTATACACGACTCCCGCTCCTCAACCAGGTGTTGTTAATATACCTTCAGTCGCACAGCCAGTGCAACCAACGTATCAACCTCCGGTTGTCGAACGCCCTGCTATATATGACGTGTACTACCCGCCGCCGCCTTCCAGGCCGGGTGTGATCAATATTCCATCGCCCCCAAGGCCCGTTTACCCAGTGCCCCAGCAACCGATCTACGTTCCGGCGCCAGTTCTACATATACCAGCTCCAAGACCAGTCATTCATAACATTCCATCAGTACCTCAACCAACATATCCACATCGGAATCCACCGATTCAGGATATTACTTATCCAGCTCCACAACCAAATCCTCCCGTACCAGGAATAGTAAATATTCCATCACCGCCTCAAGCCGTATCACCCACTCCTGGTGTGATAAATATTCCCTCGCAAGCATCACCGCCGATCACTCCTTCCTTACCTGGAATTATTAATATTCCTTCAGTGCCTCAACCGTTCCCAGCGCCAACTCCTGGTGTGATCAATATTCCGCAGCAACCAACGCCACCATCTGTGGTTCAGCAGCCCGGAATTATAAACATTCCGTCGGTACCACAACCAACTACTCCTACCACTCACCATCCGATACAGGTTGTTCAATATGAAACACAAACACCACAGCCTACGCCTGGGGTAATCAACATTCCATCTGTGCCACAACCTACGTATCCAACTCAAAAGCCATCTTACCAGGTCCCAACTGTACAGCCAAATCCTCCGGTACCTGGAATTATTAATATTCCCTCGGTGCCCCAGCCAGTGCCATCAGCAACTCCTGGAGTGATCAATTTGCCCTCAGAGCCATCTTATCCGGCACCAATCCCAAAACCTGGAATCATCAATATTCCCTCAATACCGCAACCTATACCATCAGCACCACAAAATCCGGTGCAAGAGGTTTATCACGATACTCAGAAGCCACAAGCAATTCCGGGTGTGGTTAACGTTCCATCTGTTCCGCAGCCAACTCCAGATCGCCCAAATTATGATGTGGCAAAGCCTGATTTCGAGTTCAACCCATGCTATCCATCGCCTTGTGGTCCCTACTCTCATTGTCACAATCGATTTGGAGTAGCTGCCTGTGGTTGCCTACCAAATTACAAAGGAACTCCGCCGAATTGCCGACCAGAATGCGTAATTAATTCGGATTGTCCATCAGCTTTGGCCTGCATCAATGAAAAGTGCAGAGATCCTTGCCCAGGATCCTGTGCTTACAATGCCGTGTGCCGTGTGCATGAACATGTGCCTAATTGTTACTGCCAGACTGGCTACACCGGAAATCCATTTATTTCCTGCCAACGTACACCTATAGCCCCCGTTCAACGTGAGCCCACTGAGACGAAGGATCCATGCTATCCATCTATTTGCGGACCAAACGCTGTGTGCAATAATGGACAGTGCAGCTGCATACCTGAATATCGAGGAGATCCCTATGTTGGATGTAGGCCGGAATGTGTTCTCAATACAGACTGTGCCAGGGATAAGGCTTGCATTCAACAAAAGTGCAAAGATCCGTGTCCGGGCATTTGCGGATTACAGGCCTTGTGTCATGTGTACAACCATGTGGCCACCTGCACCTGTCCGGAAGGAATGCAGGGCGATGCCTTTGTGAGATGTGACCCCAAACCCAAGGCTCAACCGCCAGCGCCAGCACCACCTACAACCTTGCCGGTCATCGTACCGCAACGTGCTCCGATTAATCCCTGCCAGCCCACTCCCTGTGGACCCAATTCCCAGTGCAGAGCTTACCATGAGCAGGCGATTTGCTACTGCCTGCCAAATTTCATTGGCACGCCACCAGGCTGTCGTCCAGAGTGTACCTCCAACTCAGACTGTCCCCTTGACAAATATTGTCTGAATCTTAGGTGTCGCGATCCATGTCCCGGGGCGTGTGGCATTCGTGCCATTTGTCATGTCCAGAACCACGGTCCCTTGTGCGTGTGTCCACCCTATTTGACGGGTAATCCCCTGCTGGCCTGTCAACCCATAGGTATACCAGAAAAATCGCCCAAACCAAAAGACCACTTTTCTAATTCCACTATTTTAGTTATTCCCCCTGTAGAGCGCGATGAAGTGAATCCCTGCCAGCCCTCGCCCTGTGGCCCGAACTCCGAGTGCCAAGCCACGTCCGGCGGAGCTCGCTGCTCCTGCTTACCCCAGTATCACGGCACCCCGCCCTTCTGTCGGCCGGAGTGCGTGAACAGCGCTGATTGTCCGGCGGACAAGGCGTGCCGAAACTACAAGTGCATTGATCCCTGCCCTGGCAGCTGTGGTTACTCAGCTCTCTGTCGTGTGGTGGCCCACAGTCCCGTGTGCTATTGTCCCGAAAGCTATGTAGGCAATGCCTACAGCCTTTGCACTCGACCCGAGCCGAGTCCACCTGCCGTGGTGATCCTGCCTTGCAATCCCAGTCCCTGTGGCGTAAACGCATTCTGCCAGCCGCACAACGACTTGAGCGTTTGCCAATGCCTGCCGGGTTACTATGGCGATCCCTCTAAAATTTGCCGACCCGAATGCACCGTCAACTCGGACTGTCCAAGCCACAGGGCTTGTATGAGCGAAAAGTGTCGCGATCCCTGTCCCGGAGTTTGTGGCCCTAATGCCCTCTGTCAGGTTATTAACCACAACCCAGTGTGCGAGTGCCTCACGGGTCATGTGGGCAATCCCTATCACAGCTGTCGCATACCACAGCGTGAACGTAAGAAAAAATCTCCTTATTTTGGCTTATCTAAAACCGACCCTAATGCGAACTTTCTCTTTGAACAACAACGCCTTACTCGAATTGTTTTCTGCTCTGTCTTACTGCGAACATATAAGTCCATTGATAATATTCTGTGATATTTTGGGAGAACTTTTCAATGCCGAACTAAATCTGACTACTTCCTAATGCTGCATACAACAACGCTGTACTCAATTCCCTGCCTCAGTTATCTTGTATCTGCTCCTGTTATGTGCCCTAATTGTATCTACCCATTACGACTTAATCCTCATACATATTTGATCTCAACGCTATGATCCTATGATCCAACGTGCCAATAATGTTCTGTGATATTTTTGTGAAATCGTAAAAAATAATATCTTTTAGCAACAACGAATTACTACTGCCGATTACCTTTCAGCTACCTCATTTGTTTAAATATAAAATCATCAAGTGTCCCTTGGAATATTGCATCGATTATGCTCAGTGACAATATGCTAGCTTTAGAAAATATTAACCTCGCTTTTGATTGCCTTTAATCATGCTTCGCTTTTGGCCCGCTATTACGCAAATTTTAAAAATCCTACTCTGACTTCCCTTAGCCCCTGCACCGGAATATGTGAACCCCTGTCAGCCATCGCCATGCGGTGCTAATTCCCAGTGTCGTGAGGCACAGGGACAGGCTATCTGCTCCTGCCTGCCGGAGTTTGTGGGCACACCGCCCTCGTGTCGTCCGGAATGTGTGATCAGCGCTGAGTGTCCGGCGGATAGGGCGTGCATCAACCAGAAGTGCCAGGACCCTTGTCCGGGAGCATGTGGCTTGAATGCCCAGTGCCATGTACGCAATCACAGTCCGCTGTGCTCGTGTCAGCCCGGGTTCACCGGAGATGCTCTGACCCGCTGTCTGCCAGTACCGCCTCCACAGCCACCGAAATCGAATGATATCCGCGATCCTTGCGTACCATCACCTTGTGGACCCTACTCTCAATGCCGGGTGGTTAATGGCGGAGCTAGTTGCAGCTGCCTGCCCAATTATGTGGGAGCGGCCCCCAACTGCCGTCCGGAATGTACCATCAATGCGGAGTGTCCCAGTAATTTGGCCTGCATCAACGAGAAGTGTCGCGATCCATGTCCAGGAGCCTGTGGCTTTGCTGCTCAGTGCAGTGTCATCAACCATACGCCCAGTTGTTCGTGTCCCTCGGGTTACACGGGAGATCCGTTCACCAGCTGCCGACTTCTGCCGCCACCACCGCCCCCACAGAGTATGCCCCTCGCTTTACCTGAAACCCAAGAAGATTTCCCTAAGCTAGGCCCCATTTCTTTTGCAGCTCCCTCTGATCCCTGCCAGCCTTCGCCCTGCGGAGCCAATGCTCTGTGCAACAATGGCCAGTGCTCATGCCTGCCAGAGTATCATGGTGATCCCTACACTGGATGTCGTCCCGAATGTGTTTTGAACTCGGATTGTCCCAGGAATAGGGCGTGTGTCAACCAAAAGTGCGTTGATCCTTGTCCAGGCCACTGTGGCCTCAATGCTCTCTGCGATGCCGTTAACCACATCGCCATGTGTCACTGCCCCGAGCGGATGACGGGCAATGCGTTCGTCTCCTGTCAGCCAATTCGCGAAGATCCACCAACAATTACACCCAATCCATGCCAGCCCTCGCCGTGCGGAACTAATGCCCAGTGCCTAGAGAGGAATGGCAACGCCATCTGTTCTTGCCTAGCCGGATACTTTGGTCAGCCGCCCAACTGCCGATTAGAGTGCTACTCCAGCTCCGATTGCTCCCAAGTGCACACCTGTATTAACAACAAGTGCGTGGACCCGTGCCCGGGCAAATGTGGTCTAAATGCAGTGTGCCAGGCGATCCAGCACAGAGCCCATTGCGAGTGCATCCCGAGATACACAGGAAATGCCTTTGTTCGGTGCAACCCCATTCCAGTTCCCATACTACCAGAACCAGTCCGCGATCCTTGCCAACCCTCGCCCTGTGGTCCCAACTCGCAGTGCACGAATGTAAATAGCCAAGCGGAGTGTCGCTGTCTGCAGGAGTTCCAGGGTACCCCGCCAAACTGCCGACCGGAGTGTGTGAGCCACGATGAGTGTGCCAACACCCTGGCCTGCATGAACCAGAAGTGCCGTGATCCCTGCCCCGGAAGCTGTGGCCAAGGTGCCCAGTGTACGGTCAGCCTTCACATACCGAACTGTCAGTGCCCCGTGGGCATGACTGGTGATCCATTCCGAATTTGTCTGCCAAAACCACGTGGTAAGATCTCCCAAGTAACGACACCCAAATCAAGAATCTTACCCACCTGTCAGAACCAGAGTGTCCCAATTTTAAATCCTTTTAAACAGGAATATCACCCAAAAGTTATAAACTCCTTGACCCAATATAAAAATATTTCTTACAACATTTAAGAACCAAGTTTGCATATTGTAATTAGGCAGGGCCCACTGTTAAGAATGCCTCCTTTTTATATAGTATCCTAACATATGAATATTACGATTTCAGACGAACCAAAGCCACCACCAACTCCCAAGAATCCTTGCTACCCTTCGCCTTGCGGTACCAATGCAGTGTGCCGCGTTCAAGGAGAGAACTACGTCTGCGAATGCAGTCAACTGGAGTACATCGGCAATCCCTACGAGGGTTGTCGCCCCGAATGTGTGGGCAACTCCGAGTGTCCGGCCAATCAGGCTTGCATCCGCAGCAAGTGCCAGGATCCTTGTCCAGGAGTTTGTGGACTGGAGGCCATTTGCACCATGAACAACCACATACCGATCTGCTCCTGCCCGCCGGGCTACACAGGCAACGCATTTGCACAATGCACCCGTCAGCTAACACCACCCCCTCCGTCGGACCCTTGTTATCCGTCCCCATGCGGACCCAATTCGATTTGCAGGATTCAGAACGAGAAGTCCGTGTGCGAGTGCCGGCCCGGATTCTTCGGGAATCCGCTGGCCCAGGGATGTCGCCCTGAATGCACCCTCAGTTCTGACTGCGCCAAGGATCGGGCTTGCATCAACTCCAAGTGCGTGGATGCCTGCGTGGGAGAGTGTGGATTCGGAGCTGTTTGCCAAACGATCAACCACAGCCCGGTGTGTAGTTGCCCTGCCAACATGGTGGGCAATCCGTTCGTCCAGTGCGAGGAACCACGCCAGGCTGAACCTATCGATCCCTGCCAGCCTTCCCCGTGCCGAAGCAATGGAATCTGTCGTGTTTACAATGGAGCTGCCACCTGCAGTTATCCGGAGTGTGTTATTAACGAGGATTGTTCCCGGGATAGGGCGTGCGTTAGCCAAAAGTGCCGCGACCCTTGCCTGAATGCCTGTGGCATCAATGCCATCTGTCGGGCCATCAACCACAAGGCTGTGTGCAGTTGCCCACCAGAGTTCTACGGATCTCCGTACGCTCAGTGTGTCAGACAGATACCGGAGCCACAGCCCAAACCGGAATGCATCAATGACGGTGATTGCACCAATGACAAGGCGTGCATCAACCAAGTTTGCCGCAATCCATGCGAGCAATCGAACATCTGCGCCCCACAGGCACGCTGCCATGTTCAGCTCCACCGGCCATTGTGCGTCTGCAATGAGGGATATACTGGAAACGCCTTGCAAAACTGCTACCTTCTGGGATGCCGATCGGATGGTGAATGTGCCGCCAATGAGGCTTGTGTTAACCAGCAGTGCGTGGATCCTTGTGGTTTCACACAGTGCGGAACGGGAGCCATCTGTCGGGCTGACTTTAACCACCGAGCTAGATGCCATTGCCTGGACGGCTACCGCGGCAATCCTCTGGTGCGCTGCGAACGTCCAGAGTGCCGATCCGATGACGAATGTGCGTTCCACTTGGCCTGCCGTAATGAGCGCTGCGAAGACCCGTGCAACTGCGGCATTGGAGCCCAGTGCCGCGTGGAGAACCACCGTGCCCAGTGCCGTTGTCCAGCTGGCTTCAGTGGCAATCCGGCCGTAAGATGTGATCTTGTGCCAACACAGTCGGAGGGCTGCACCATGGATGCGGAGTGTCCCAGCAAACTGGCCTGCTTTGGCGGCGAGTGCAAGAACCCGTGCGATGTCACGCATCCATGTGGCGCCAATGCCATCTGCGAGGTGGTCGACACTCTGCCTCTGCGCACCATGATGTGCAGCTGCTTACCTGGCTATGTGGGTGAAGCCGACATCGGATGTCACAAAGGTAAGATATGACTGGTGGAAAGATCACAAGGAGCCTTAAAGTGGGTTGATTTGTTAGACAGCTGTCTATTAACTCAATCCACCATAGCTTTGGTGGATTTCATTCCAGCTTATTATACCCTTTACTTTTGAGTTTGCTTTTCTCATTGCAGCAGCAGGTTTTTTTATAAAGTGCTTATACAAATATTTATCCTGAATTTACAATCCCATTTATAGTGATGCAAACCCATTATCCTGAGCAGTTGCACCTATATATATTTTGAATGCACTCTATAACTCTTAACTGTTGCACATACACACTCAGCAATCACACATTTACTTTGGAGAAATCTCTAATCTATAATTTTTTTGCTCAGAACCCCCGCGAGATCAGGGCTGTACGTCACATGATCAGTGCCAGGATACGGAAGCCTGTCGTGGCGGCAACTGTGTCAATCCCTGCTTGGATGCCTCGCCTTGTGCTCGAAGCGCCCAGTGTTTGGCCCAACAGCATCGCGCCATTTGCAGCTGTCCTGAAAGGACACAGGGAGATCCATTCACCAACTGCTACGAGCCACGTAAGCTACCACTTATAATTGGGATCAAATGGATTCCTCTAATCATGTGTTATATTTCCAGCTGAAATCAAGACTGGCTGCACCCACGATTCGGAATGCCAGCCGACCACGGCCTGCATCAATAAACGCTGCCAGGATCCTTGTGCCGAGGCCAATCCATGTGCCGGAAATGCCGAGTGTCGCGTGCAGAACTCCCGACCGATTTGCTTCTGTCCAGCTGGTTGGGGTGGTGACCCACAAGTGCAATGCTACAAACGTAAGTACTCCGTGTGAAACACCCTTGTAGACAAAGAATAATGAAATCGCTAATCCTCCAGCCGAATGCAAGATCAACGCCGACTGTCCATATGACAAGACCTGCTTGAACGAAAACTGCGTGGATCCATGCACTCATAGCCAAGTGCGTTGCGGCAACGGGGCCCAGTGCCTGGCTCAAAACCACCAAGCTGTGTGTATCTGCCCAACCGGAACTCAGGGAAATCCCTTCATCTCCTGCATCACTGGACACTGCCAGTACAACGAGGATTGTGCGGACCACGAAGCCTGCGATCGATTGAATCGCGTTTGCCGACCCGTTTGCGATCAGGAGACTTGTGCCCTAAACGCCATCTGTGTGGGTCGTCGCCATCAGCCTCTGTGCGAGTGCCGACCCGGATACCAGGGCAATCCACATGTGCAGTGCGATATACCGGTGAAGACGCCCAAGCCTCAGTGCATTCAGGATGCCGACTGTCCATCAAAATTGGCTTGCATAAATGAGCGCTGCGCAGATCCTTGCGCCATGCCCCATGTTTGTACTCCGCAGCAGACTTGTACAGTCTTGGATACCCTTCCAAAGCGAGCAATGGCGTGCAAGTGCCCCGGCGATACAGTGACGGATATCTCACGCAACTGCGTGCCTATCACTGTACCCAAGGTCATCACCGGCTGTCAGCACAACTCTGAGTGCGCCAATACTGAGGGCTGTTTGAATGGAAACTGCCTGGATGCCTGCCGACTGGAGAGATGTGGCGTCAATGCCCAGTGTACAGCTCGGGATCACTATGCTCAGTGCAACTGCCCTAAGGGCTTCCAAGGCAATCCCCGCATCGAATGCTACACTACGGAAGTTGATGTATTACGAATCCCCAATCCTGTCTGCTCCCGCAACGACGACTGTCCCAGGGATCAGATTTGTCGCAACGAGATTTGCGTCAGTCCGTGTGCCGCAGATGACTGTGGAATTGGAGCCTACTGCCATGTGCAGCAGCGAAAGGCCATCTGCCGCTGTCCACCTGGTTATTCCGGTAACCCACAAGACCGCTGCCTGCCACGTAAGTGTTTTTTATTTGTTTTTGAAACCTCAAGTGGCTGCAATACTTATTTCAATTCCATCTCTGCAGCTTCAGATGTGATCCTGGTGGGCTGCAAGTCTAGCACCGACTGTCCCTCGAACGAGGCCTGCATCAACACCCAGTGCGTCAGTCCTTGCAACTGTGGACCGAATGCCGAGTGCACGGTGAAGAACCACCATCCGATCTGCTACTGCAAGCCCGGATTCTCCGGAAACGCCCAGTTTGGATGTGCACCTATTGGCTGCCAGTCGGATGATGAGTGCAGCGCTGACAAGCAGTGTGTGAATCGCGAGTGTATCAATCCCTGCCTGACCAGCGATCCGTGTGCCCTTAATGCCGAGTGCTACGGGCGTAACCATCGCGCCAATTGCCGCTGTCCCGTGGGATTGGAGGGTGATCCGTTTGTGCGTTGTTTGCGCTTGGAATGCCACTCAGACTATGACTGCGCATCGAACTTGGCTTGCGTATCAAACGAATGTGTTAGCCCATGTGGTCAACGTAATCCTTGCGCCCAGAATGCCATTTGCCAGGCTCTGCAGCATCGCGCTGTTTGCCGTTGTCCGGATCAGTTGCCATTGGGTAACCCGCATGCCTATTGTGAACCCAGACCTGTGGAGCCCGTCTGCCGGGATGACGGAGATTGCCCAAGTAAGCTGGCCTGCATCGATGACAAGTGTCAAAATCCTTGCGCTGTGCTCTCGCCATGCCATCAAACTGCTCAGTGCAGTGTCCTAAATAGCGTTCCAGTGAGAACAATGGTTTGTGAGTGTGCAGAGTATGAGGTGCCCGATGCCAGTGGAGCGTGCAAAAAGATGGTACCGCCCAGGCAACCAGGCTGCGAGAGCGACCAGGACTGTCCCGACCAAGAGGCCTGCATACACGCGCAGTGCCGCAATCCATGCAACTGTGGAACTAACGCCGTCTGTCAAGTGACTCAACATCGCGCCGTGTGCAGTTGCCAGGACGGATTTGAGGGTAATCCCTATGCCTCCTGTCGCTCTATTGGATGTCGCGTTGACGGTGAGTGCGATTCGGGTAAGGCCTGCATCAACGGCGACTGCATCAACCCATGCCTGATCAACGATCCATGTGGACCCAACGCCGAGTGCTATGTGCAATCGAACCGTGCCCAGTGCCGCTGCCTGAGTGGCTATCGAGGAAATCCCTACGAGCGTTGTCGTGTCATTGGCTGCAGCAGCAACAACGACTGTCCCACGGACAAGACCTGCCAGAACGAACAATGCGTGAATCCGTGCGTCTACCACAACCCTTGTGCCCCGCGAGCGGAATGCAGGGCTCAGAACCATCTGGCCGTGTGCCGCTGTCCTGCCGATTTCCTGGGTAATCCATACGTGGACTGCCGACCGCCGCCACAGCCCATCTGCCAGTTGGATACCGATTGTCCAGGTCGCCGGGCCTGCATCAACGAACAGTGCGTGGATCCATGCGTTGTATTGGAGCCTTGCCAACGGCCTGCCATCTGCGAGGTAACTCCCACATCACCGGTGCGTACGATGCTCTGTATCTGTCCGGATGGCTATGTCAGCAGAGGTAGTGGAGGCTGCAAGCCCACGCAAGGAATCAAGGAGGTTGGAGGGTGCATCTCGGACTCTGATTGTCCGGCAGATAAGTCCTGCTTGAACAGCGTCTGCCGAGATCCTTGCAACTGTGGCTTGAATGCCGAATGCCGTATTAAGGACCATAAACCCGTATGCACTTGTCGCCAAGGATTCGAAGGAAACCCAGAGTTTGAGTGCTCCAAGATAGAGTGCAGTATCAACTCAGATTGCCCGGGAACGCACTTGTGCCGCAACCAGCTCTGCATCCCTGCCTGCCAGGGTGAGCAGTGTGGATCCAATGCCCAGTGCCTGGCTATCGAGCATCGTGCGGTTTGCGAGTGCATGCCAGGACATGGTGGAAACGCCAGGATTGCTTGTACTCCGTTAGGATGTCGCTCAGACGACGAATGTCCAACAGACAAGGCGTGCGTCAACGGCAAATGTAATGATCCTTGTACAACAACTGCTTTATGTGCCCAGGACGAGCTTTGCAAGGTGTATCATCACCGACCACAGTGCGCCTGTCCACCAGGAACCGTGCCCGGAAAGAATGGCTGCGAATCGGAGCGACACATTCCCATTTGCATAAGCGATGCGGACTGTCCCAGCCAGAAAGCATGCCTGCGCGGAGAATGTGTGAATCCGTGCAATGCCACCCAACCATGCGGAGTCAATGCCTTCTGCAGTGTCCGTGATACCTTGCCTGTTAGGACAATGATCTGTGAGTGCCTTGAAGGCTACACTGGCAACCCAGCCGTGCAATGCGACAAGCGTTCGCTGTGCGTCATCGAGAAGGGCTTCGTTCGGGATGTGGATGGACAATGTGTTTGCCCACCAGGAACCGCTTTGGATATCTACGAATACTGCACCCCATGCCGAGAGGAGCAAGGCTTCCGCATCGACCAGAATGGACATTGTGTGTGCGCTTTGGAGCGTGGAATGGTGATCGACGAGCGTGGCCGTTGCACTTGTCCCATTGATCTGGGCTACCGTCTGACTCCACGTGGCGAATGCCAGCCGGAGGAGCCGCCAGAGTGCACGAGCAATGATCAGTGCGCCGACAACCGTTTCTGCAACTTAGACACCAAGACCTGTGAGGATCCCTGTCTGACCAAGGTGTGCGGAGTGAATGCCTTCTGTAACGCGGTGAATCACCGAGCCCAGTGCCAGTGCATCACTGGTTACACCGGCAATCCGGAGCTGCACTGCAACCACACTAACTTCCGCACCGACTTCCCACGACCCGATATGGTCGTCAGTTGTCTCGCCGATGGAGTTCAAGTAGAGATCCACATCACGGAGCCAGGATTCAATGGAGTACTGTACGTTAAGGGTCACAGCAAGGACGAGGAGTGCCGTCGGGTGGTCAACCTGGCTGGCGAGACTGTTCCCCGTACCGAGATCTTCCGCGTTCACTTTGGTAGCTGCGGCATGCAGGCAGTAAAGGATGTGGCTAGTTTCGTGCTGGTCATCCAGAAACATCCCAAGCTGGTCACCTACAAGGCGCAGGCCTACAACATCAAGTGTGTCTACCAGACTGGCGAGAAGAATGTTACTCTAGGATTCAACGTATCCATGCTGACGACTGCCGGAACAATTGCCAACACAGGACCACCGCCGATCTGCCAGATGCGCATCATCACCAACGAAGGCGAAGAGATCAACTCTGCTGAGATCGGCGATAATCTCAAGCTGCAAGTGGATGTGGAGCCAGCCAGTAAGAATTTAATATTTTTAAGACCTATCAAAATGTATGCTTATCTCTATATTTAACTTCTAGCCATTTATGGAGGCTTTGCCCGCTCTTGTATTGCCAAAACCATGGAGGACAATGTGCAGAACGAGTATCTGGTCACTGATGAGAATGGCTGTGCCACGGATACCAGTATCTTTGGAAACTGGGAGTACAACCCGGACACGAACAGCCTGCTGGCCAGTTTCAATGCCTTCAAGTTCCCATCGAGCGATAACATCCGCTTCCAGTGCAACATACGAGTCTGCTTTGGACGCTGTCAACCCGTCAATTGTGGTGGCTACAACGCCTTCGGGCGACGTCGCCGCTCCATTGCGGACAACTCCACCGATGCGACCGCCATTGCCACGAATTCGGGTGTGGAGGGTCAACTGCGCGAAGAGATCACAATCTCGTCAAATGCCATTTTGACATTCGAGAAGCGCAGCGGTCAAGGTCTTAATGATGCCAACAGTAAGTAGTCCTGCAATGGATCATAACTCAAACCATAACTAACTTTGATTTCCATTTCCCACAGTAAAACCGGCGGCTCAAAGGGTCGAGGATATCTGCGTGTCTATGGTGGGATTAATCATTGCGCTGGTCATCACGGCTCTGCTGGCTCTTGTGGCCGTTGCCGTGGCTGTTTCCTGCTGGCTGATGGCCTACAGGAGGAGGCCGAAGACCATTGCGCCCCTCCCCCATCCGCCAGAGTTCCCCAACCCGCTGTTCTCCAATCCGGACGCAGTGCCCGAGCCAACGCCGGATTACATCTCCTAAATGTAACGTAACAATACAATGATACACAACACCTAGCTATATCTTTAGTATGTAAGAAAATCGAATGAAAATGAAAAAGAAAACTTTGTGAATATTTGAAAGGCAAGTGCAAAAGGTTATGAATAATGCAAAACAGATCAAATCGCGAAAGATAATCAAGATTGAAGATTGAAGAAAAGAAAAACAAAAGTACAGTTGTGAGCTGAAAGAATAGTCGGCTCTGTTGGCCGTAAAACGAAACTATGAATGATTGAATTATTGTAAAAAGCAAAAATGACGAAGCGAGAATCGCACGAAGAAAGCACGAAAGTAATTTAGTAGCTTAAGAAAATAATTTTATTAATTGTAATAACGATTAGTATTCTCCTTCCTACTAACATGAGAATTCCGCGTAGTGTTTGTACGTTTAGCTGCCACATAGAGACCACCAACTGCCAAACAGATGTGAGGGAATTTACCCATAGAGAGTACAGCTACAAACGAATTCTCGTCCTCTAACGACAACTTCTTCATTAGTCGAGAACCAATATTAATTCTGTTATATATGTATAACTAAAGACTTCCTATAAATATTTAGGGTGTGGGTAGTAGCAACGACACTTTGTATTATAGCACAGACACACGCACACACAACTGCAACTACTTCCTGTAATTTAGATACCAACTCAACTAGCCCGTTAAAATTGAAAACTGCCTTTGATTTCCAACAAGAAAAAACGAACAATGCACCCCAGAATACTCTCTAGCATAATATATGTAAGAGATCGTTGTGCCTCGGTCGATAAGATACTATTTCGCGTCTATCATCCATAACCACTGGACAATATGCCAACGATTGTCCCAGTTGGATTGTAGGCAAGCTCAAGAGTCCAAAACACACACACACACACACACGAACACGAACCTCGAAGAAATCAGACCACTCTAAGCAGCTTATAGACGTGGGAACAGTTTCATCTGGATCTAGGCACCAACTCGTTGAGGGAACATAACTATAACTGCCACTGAGGCGTCGTCAGCGCACAAAAGATACTTATCTATTGCATAGGAAATACTAGGTTTGTTTTAATTTTAATCGCAACACCGACTAATGGAGGATTTGATTTTGACCACTGTCCCTCGACCCCTTGTACTACACTCTACTATGATTAACCATTATTTTTGTAGTTTTATAGTCAATTAATATTAAATTGTTGTGATTGTTTTTAATGCAAAAGAGATACTTCCACTAACTTACTAATATGTAGAGACAAAAGTACAGAGCGTACTTAAAAAGGCAACGAACCAGCGTCCCGCCCCTGCCCCTGACCCGCCCCCCTTCCGTTCTCCGTCGGGAACAGCACGCCTCTGTCAACGCGCCGGAAACTATGCAGCGAATTTCCGTTTCCGGCGCCCGTTTCACGGAGCATGTCTTTTTCCGATGCGATGATAGCCGGGGGGGTCGCGGTTTCGCGGGTTCGGGCCTGGATAATTAAATTATTAAACATGAAGTTTTAAATTAATATTATTAAACGTAAACAAAATGTATAGTCACTACTTTAAGAGGAAAGAGAATTTTCTTTATAGTAAAATACCATACAAAATAAACTCGCACTCAGACACGTACACAAAGAGACAGAATTTGTAAATAATACACAGGCAAACTCTATGGTATTTTTAGTAGCGCATTATTGTGTATAGGTTTCAGCACCTTGACCCCCAAATCCGAACTAAATCACAGGCTAATCCTAACCCATGCCAGGCATAAAATTATTTTCTTAATTCCATAGCCAATAGAATGTACAAGCAAGTGCACAAATTTGCAACCGCCTCGTTCACAATTACCACACACTTTTATTTTTCTTCACAAGAACCGCTTCAAAATCGGACCCAAAATAGAGTTACATTGAATATAGACAAAACTTTTTGCACTGGCAGCAAATATACTCGTAAATGAGAAAATAATAAGGAATAAGAGTGGCTCTTATTGTAAAAAGAAAGCAATAGTTAAATTGTACTTATAAAACGTGTATTTAATAACGAGAAACGAACATAATTGTAATCGCTTATTGTAAACTAATAAATAAATAAATAAAAATAAATCAACATGACGGCGGGGACTCCAATGATAATTAAATTAAGTATTTCGCCAGCGTTCCGCTTGCACTCAACTCGAATCTGGCCATTTAAGCGATTAAGCGGACACATATGGCGAAAATTGTAGCTTCTTCTTGGATGTCAGATAATCCGATTTAAAATATTCCAGCATTTTGGGGAGCGGGAACAAGCCTAACCCGTAGTGCTTCTCAAATCTGCCCGCCGCCACCGACGCGGATCCCACTTATAATACTGGATCCGCTCTCCGGCAGAGTGGTCGTGCCAGATATGGGTAGAGCGGCGAGATATAGCTGGCCATATATACACATACTATCTACATACATATGTACGTATGTATGTGGAGAGCGCGAGCGGATCGGGTTTGTGGTATGCCGCAGCAGCAGTCGCAACTGCAAACGATATTCGCACACGGGGATTGGATCAGTTGACATTTGACGGCGCGCGTGTTGGCACGTTTTCGGAGCCACCTCCATGGACTCATGGTTAATCCATTAAGTCGTCGAAAGTGCGGCACGCAAAGTTGAGCACCTCGCACTACACTCGCACTGGGCATCAAGTATACGCGTCGTTATCTTGATCCGCCCGATTGCCGTTGTCGGGTAATTTGATGTGCGTTGATTGTTCTATTACGACTATTATGATTGAAATTGGCCATTGTTCGGCGGATGAATGAGTGAAGAATCCAGAATCCCCACACTAGAATCTAAATTGAACTGCAGGAACAAGTGAATCAAAGTGAATGAAATTACCATTATTAGTGTCGATCGCTGTCGCTCTGATTGCCACCATTAAAGTGTGTGATTATCTGTTTGGCCAAGGTGTTAAATCTTTTTGTTTGTTTGATCTTCGAGTGCAGCACAGCATATCGGTAAAAACAGCATTTAATGGCTGTTTGTTGGTGGCAGCAACTGGGCAAACAAACTTGTTGTATAATGGGGAATTTAGCACTGGCTGGGCACAGCTTTCATTAGCAAGTTGGAGTGCTAATTTGGTTTTATAGTCCAGTGCGATACAAGGGATGTGCCCGGAATAGAACATCTGTTGATGCCGCAGCTTTCTATCGACGGCTTACGACTTACAATGAGGTATAGTTGTCCTATACGATGTCACACTATTTCTCCCACTGTCAGACCTCAAGTAAGCAATTACCAAAACATTTCACAGGGTTTAGCTTTCTCAGCTTCAACAGTAAAGCGAATTAAATTCACACAACGCTCCATAAGTGATTTATTGCCCGACAAAGGTAATCAATCAGGTTTTTTTTTATTGTGAGGTTTGAATGGAAGCCCCAAAAAGCCAACAGCTGATATTTTAAGAAGCTTACTCTACTAGCACACAGTTATGTAAATACAATTGGAATGTTTTCGAGCTCAGTTGATCAGTTGAATCGGTTTTATTCGTGCCTCGCGCTCTGGCTGAAAATTTACATTTTTACTACTTGAGTGTGGCTGATTTTCATATTACAACGAAACCCCCTAGCGTGCTATGATATATGATATGTGTACGGCAAGATGCGTAATTATTAATTACGGCACAGTTGAGCCAGCTCGCTGACCTTTCGTGGTCTGCTGCTGACCGGAGAGTCACTGGAGCAGATCGCGTGCCAATGACGTAGTGCCTCTGTTTCCTCCTCAATCCGAAACTTTCAAATTCAAAGAGCCCGATATGGGCAAGAGCGTCACTGGCAGTCATCGAAATGAAAGCAGCCCGAGAAATGCTTTCCAAGAAGGCGACCATGAGAGGTGGGCGACGTGGTCGGGAGCAACCTTTTAGGGCCACATCGCCGATAAGATACAAATTTGTATCTGTAGTGTCAAGTGCGAGTTGCTGTTCACCTGTGTGTGGCTGAAGAGCTCGAGTTGGTTTATCTGTGGCGGTGATAAAATATATATAAAAAAAATGGAACAAAACTTCAGCTTGTTTGTTTATATAAACAAATACGAGAAAAATATATAAGGTGTACGTAAAAAGAAAAGGAAAAATCACTCAGTTTTATGGCAGCGCACTGAGTTGGGAAAGTGAATTCCCCATAAAGTGATAACAATTTGCGGAGTAGGCAGACAATATTTTATTTTATTAAATGGTTAAAGAGCAACTTTCAAGAAAGTAATCACCTCTATTAAAGCAAATAAAGATAACTCGTGCTGGCTTTCACATGATTTAGTTTATTTTGATTTAAAAGCCCAAACTCACGCAGCCGGCAACAACAACATTGTGCAACTCAAGATTTAAATGTGATTTAAAATTGTGTCAACCAGTACTCGCAATCGCAGATTGCGACCATTCAAAATGATAGATATGAAAGCGGCCCCAGCATCAGCGAACCAGTGCAAAATCCAACAACAGTCGCCGTTCAAAATGGTTTTATGATAAAGCGACTAGCGAATACCAACCAGCAACTAGCAACCTGCAACTAGCAACACATCAACTGGCAACCAGCAACACAGCTACAGCAGCCACACGAATTTCCCACAGAGAGGCCCTCCCCTCAACCTTCCCAATGGCGGACAACAAAGACGCCAGCCAGGTGCTGAGCACCACACCCGACCAGGTGGTGACCAAGCGCACCCCGCCCACCGGTCTTACGCCCTTGAGGCACAGCCAACTCTCTGATAGCGGAGCGGAGAGCTGCTACGAGGGCGACGAACAGGCACGGCTCATCCGGTCGTCCTCGTCGCGGGTCCACAAGTTCATCATTATACCGGCCACGCCGGGAACACCGCCGGGAAGCGGTGCGGTAGCCGGACCACTTCCCTTCCGCCAAACCAGCTCCACCACCTCGCTGGCGGCCATGGCGGCTGCTCTGCACAAACAGCCACCACTACGCCAGATATCGGTTCGAACCAGGCCCAATTCGGAGGTATTGCAACCTGGTGCAGGTCAGGTGCAGGCCCATCAGCCAACGGCAGCAGGATCCACCTCCACGGTCACCTTCACCATCGACGATTGCGATGAACAAGCCGCTGAGAATCCAGCTCGATCTTCAGCTCCAAGTCCCGTGACCATGCCCGCCATCTCACCCACGCCCGCCACCCTGACCTGCACCACCACCACCACCATGGCCGGGGATTCGGTGGCCGTCTCGCCGCTCAGCATGGATCTGAAGTCGCGGCTAGGCAGCCACCACAGCAGTATGCGCTCCGTGGTCTCAGGTTGGTGAACCTCTAACCTCACAGCCCATTCCTCACCCGCATATTGAGTTCCAAAGTGCGCGAATGTAATTGCTTGTACTCAATTGCTTTGCTTGGAAACGCCTCTTAATCTTTTAATTACACGAAATACTTGAACAGGCTTTTGATAATGTTGTCCTACTAATAATTAAGTGTATGCCTATAAGTGCCCCAGTGTCATTTAGCGAAAGTTAGATAGGCTTACATAGTATTCTGCTACTTGAGTTCTACAACATTAAACTAAATTTGAGGCATTATTAGCTATTTAAATGGCACACCCAGCAACTTAGTTCCACATTTACTATGCAATTAGTGTATAATTATTTATTCTGTAATTGATTATACTCGCATATGCATGCCCTTAATCGCGATGATTGTCTCACATCTAATCTTTTACCTGGAACTATTGTAAGGCGCTTATATTTCTTAATCCCGCGCAGGTTATCTTCCGGGCCTGAGCGATAGTAGCGGCAATCTGGTTGGAGGCATATCGATGGCCACTTCCGGATTACAGGCCCCCAATCCGCTCTACATGCAACCACAGGCCTCGCTGAGCGGCAGTTCCTATCATTTCCACGAACTGGCCGGCAACCAGATCTACTCCGATGTGACCTCCGTTCGCTCGCTGGCCTCCATTGGCATTGGGTCGACGGATGGACGCAAGCTGGTCATCCGGCGGGTGCCCACCACCGCCAACGAGCTCTTCGACATGGTCAATCCGCAGACGCCGCCGTAAGTGAAGTAAAGGGACGCATTTATTTCCAAATCAAATACCGATTTAGTTTTCTGTTAGCTGTTTCTCTCTGTGTATAGTTAGGGCCATTAGCTTGACAAAGGGGCGCCGATAAAATGATCTAACATGTGTGGCAAATTTGGCCAGCATTTGGCACTTTAGCATAGAATAACATTGTGGAGCATTTGGCAAACAGGGGATTTTAACACCCTTGTGGCATCTTTGGGCGCGGGGTCCACATGATGGCCAAGGGGCTCCGAAACGTGCCGATCTCGCATCAGCTATTTTTAAGCAACGTTCCATAACGAGATCAATAGATCGGTTCGATCGTTTTTGTGATTTATCTGTTTGTGTTGGCCATACCAATTACCACTCCCCATTGTGTGCTCCATAAACACCGGGACTGCGGCCGAGTCCCGGCTAAAAATTGCCGGATTTGTAGTCAGTAACGCATCAGCCCACAAACCGATCGGTTGCCACTCCCAGTTTCCCTCCAGTGCCCGCGACTCCTGCTCCACGTATCCTTGGCATCCATGGATACCTTCATAGTTCGAAGGCTGCATTAGAAGTGACTCCTGAATATCAGTAGATTAAAGCAAAGGAGTGAGCGAGAGTCGAGATGCCAAACCGCCAGGACTACGATGCCCAGTCCTCGAAGCACTCGGAGCAGTCCTTCTTCCGCTTCAACCGGGTGGCCAAAGTGTAAGAGCACAGGGAAAAACTTCAGTTGCATAACGTCTCGAATCAGGCCATTAAATGGTGATCGTGTGATTTATTTGCCCGAAACATTAGCGATAAAGCGCTGATTAAACATGAATGATTGCTTGATTGTTAAGTAGACTGCTTATACCCGACTTACCACTATTCCAAAAAGGATAGTAAATATACGTTTTTTTTTCAATATCTGCCCATATATGGTGCTACTGTGCTGTGTTGATATATCAAGAATTTTTGAAGAAATTGCTTAAAAAAATGGAATACAAATGCAAAGTTAATAATATGCAATTTGTATTCGAATTAGGCAATTTGCTGAACAGAAACTAGGATATAGATTTATTGGTCTATTATTAAAATGTACTAATCATTAAAT